TAAAATTGCCAAAACAACAAATAGATTAGTGATTTCAAACAATAGCACTATTATGCATTCTTTCATCAATATTACATCCAGTTTTCAGCCAAACGTTTAAATTGAAGCTTGCATGAATCTGCATATTGTTTTAAATAAGCCCTTATTCTGAAGTCATGTTTTTGGCATATCTTTAAATAATTTATTTATTCAAATACAAGTCATTTTATAAGTGTTCCCTTATTATTTCATATCGGCCCTTATATCCTAACAAAATAACATACATGTAGTCATATGCAGGCTCTTTATCAGGTGTGAGCTCTCGTTTATAGCTCACCAATGACCAGCAGCGCGGGCAGTGGAGAGCTCATCTGAAGGTTTAGGGGAGGAGGACAGCTCTGTTGACTCTGCTGGAAGAGATGGAGAAAAGGTTATAGAACAGTTTTGTTGTCCTGCTGAAGAAACAGACAATTATGTAATTATTGACAAGTTTAATTAGTGCCTATTTGACTAATTCCTTCTCTATAAATTTAAAATATACTCTAATTATCTTAAAGGGATAGTTCATCCAAATATTAAAAAAAAGTCATCATTTGGTTCCCATTTACTTGTTTCAAACCTTTCAACACAAAATAAGATATTTTGAAAAAAATTATAAAACAAAAAAAAACTGTAACCACTGACTTTCATAGTATTTGTTTTTCGCCCACTATGGAAGTCATTGATTATGAAAATATCTTCTGTGTTTAACACACACACACACACACAGTATGCATACATATACAGTATATATATATGAGCAATATAACGAGTAGCAGTGCAAATTGGCTGTAGTTCGCCTTAGTGTTCCACCAGTGACATTATACAGCCATATCGCACTGCTACAAGAGTGACATTGTGTTTATACAACAGTTCGCCAGCATTATCGTATTAATTAAAAAAAGAAATTCAAACACAGAGTCAAAAAAAGCCTTTTGTATGAGGAACTACTTTCTCCCACCATTCCTTCACATCTGCAGCTGACGTCAGAACAGCAGAAACCTTTGCTACTACACCAACATCCCTTTACAGCTAGTGTTAGAATGATTTGCGTAATATCTAAAGTGATGATAAAACAGCTGATTTTGCTCACATTTTAAGATTATAAGGCTGAACGGCATGAAATGCCATCTGTATACAGAGATTTCACAGTATTTCTCTGTTGCAATTGGGATATTACAATAATTAACGTCAAAAAAGCCAAAGCAAAGCAAAAACACTATCAGAAACATTACCAGACTGGTATACAGTAAATACAACACTACAACATACAACAGAAAAAGATTGAATAGAAAAGTCACTTACCTGTTTTATAATGTTTTGATCAGCTTTAGTTTGTAATTACGTTGAGTTTTTCTGCCCTAAGGGCTTATTATGCGGCCTCTGTCACCATCTTGTGAATGGACAACATCAACCATCTTTGCTCTGCTTAGTATGACAGGCTGATGGATGCCGATGCGCTGTATCTCCGAAATTATAAATATCTAAAATAGGCAATGTCCTTATAAATGAATTACATAGTTGCAATCTAAACAACAAAATTCTTGACTAAAAAGACTCGGAAATACATTATGTTGTCCAACAGCTGTAGTAAGTTTAAATATCTGCTGCCTCTCTATGTGGGCGGAGTAATACACAAGAGTGAAATCATATTCGCATTCAATCATATTCGAGCCAATCATATTCCAGAACCAGACAAAACTGTTGTGTGTATATTTACAGTTGGAAGTCAGAATTATTAGCCTCCCTTTGAATTGTTTGTTCTTTTTTTAATATTTCCCAAATTATGCTTAACAGAGCAAGGAAATGATCACAGCATGTCAGATAATATTTTTTTCTTTTGGAGAAAGTCTTCATTGTTTTATTTCAGCTAGAATAAAAGCAGTTTTTAATTTTTTTAACACCATTTTAAGGTCAATATTATTAACCCATTTAAGCTATTTATTTTTTCGATAGTCTATAGAACAAACTATTGTTATACAATAACTTGCCTAATTACCTATAACCTGATTAGTTAACCTAATTAACCTAGTTAAGCCTTTAAATGTCACTTTAAGCTGTATAGAAGTGTCTTGAAGAATATCTAGTCAAATATTTTTTACTGTCATCAAGGCAAAGATAAAATAAATCAGTGATTAGAAATGAGTTATTTAAACTATTATGTTTAGAAATGTGTTGAAAAAACCTGCTCTCCGTTAAACAGAAATTAGGGAAAAAATAAACAGGGGCGCTAATAATTCAGGGGGCTAATAATTCTGACTTCAACTGTTCAGTATATGCATTCACATATATCCATTTACCAGTAACAATTGGGGAAATGCTAAAACATCTAAAGCAAAGAATATGCTTTAAGTTAAAAACCTACACTATTTGAAAGCAATTCTTCTATATCATGTGATATTTAGTTTCAACTGTGTATACAGTAATTTCAGTTTTACAAATTTTTGTTCATGACACAAAAAAAAAAAACATCTTCAAAAAAACTATAAATTGTTTGTTTTTTATTTGTGAGCAAAGCACTTTGAATGCACACAAGTAGACCAATCAAGATCATCTCCAAGGTCAAGATGATGTTCAAATTCATGCCACTTGCAGAGAGAGAGAGAGAGAGAGAGAGAGAGAGAGAGAGAGAGAGAGAGAGAGAGAGAGAGAGAGAGAGAGAGAGAGAGAAAGAGAGAGAGTATTATAAAGCTGTGTTAAAAAAACCTGAAAAATGCGTTTTCATAAGTTGAAGCAAAAGATGCAACACTTATGCACACATTTATACAGAGATGCTTTACAATTTAATAAACAGATTACTCAAACAGCTTACATTTTTCACTCAGAGATGACATACTGTATAGTTTTCATTGCTGAAAAACATTTGGAGCAATTGACCTGCTCTAAAAGCTCGTACTAACCAGTGAGAGATTTTTCTTTCCCTTGATGAATCCAAAATGCAGACAGCACATTCTGTAAATACAAAATGCCGAAATGTCCAAAAAGCATACAAAACATATTCACATTTTGGTTTTAGATGAAAAAATAAATTAAAAATATGTTGGCATTTTCTTCCTTTTTGACTCTCAAATTCACAACAAAAATAAATATTACACGTAAAAAAAACTGTCCCCATTGTAGTCTTTCGCAGTTTAAAGAAACACTCCACATTTTTTTGAAATACGCCAAATCACCTAGCTGAGTTTTACCATTATTAACTATATTTAATCTCGTGGTCTGGTGGGAGCGCCATTAGCTTAGCATAAATCATTGAATCTTTAAGAGTCTAAATTATCATATGCATTTGATTCTACGGCAAAACATGTCTTTTTTTCAGCAAAGAAGGCTCACACAAATTCTAAAGGCAGATACTGATTAGATCAGGACCTCTCTCCTGATCTGCAGGCTATCTTCTCTGGCTCTACTGCTCCCAGGCTTACTCTTTTTGCCTCTCCCTCTCCCTGTCTCTCCTTCTACTTCTGGTAACTTTATGTTTACATTAAAGCCGGGTACAATTATTATCATATGTTTTATCATTTCAGACTTTATCATTTCATACAGTTATTTTGTAATTAATTCAGTTGTAACCATAGAGAATTATTGTCATTAAATCATCATGAGGAAGACACAACAACGCCTCATCTTCCTCAGGCATCTCAGGAGGTTTGGAATGAGCCCCCACATCCTCCGCTCGTTCTACACCTGCACTGTGGAGAGCATCCTGTTTGGCTGTATCACCACCTGGTATGGAAATAGCAACAGCAGCAATCGCAAAGGCCTACATAAGATTGTGCGAACTGCTGGACGCATAGTAGGAGGTGAGCTTCTCTCCCTCCAGAACATCTATACCAGGCGGTGCATGAGGAAAGCCAAGAGAATTATCAATGACTCCAGCCACCCAAGACATAGACTTTCCTCTCTGCTACCCTCAGGCAGACGGTTCCGCAGCAAAGCTTCTTCCCTCAGACAATCAGGCTGATGAACACTTAACACACCACACACAGACTCTTCCATACCCCTTACTGCACACCATCAATATGTAGCATGCACTGCACTTTAACCCATCCATACTTGAAACAATACTGCCTACAACTATGTGGACACCTATTCATTCTACATATCGCTGTCAATTTTACATTGTCGTTGTATTTGCATGTCATCGTGTCTGTATTTTTTACTGTCTGGAGCCAGCACCTAAGCTTTTGACTCATCATAGCACACGTGCTGCTGCTGATGTGACAATAAAAGTGATTTGATTAGATTTGATCTCATTTTCAAGTATTTGTGAATTACTTTTGATTTAACATCAACACTGAATTGCTCAATATTGCAGAAGAATACAATCACATAATTGCAACGCTGTCCCACATTTTAAGCTATTAATACTGCCCTTATTTCTGTTTTTTGGTATAAGACTGCAGAATAATGATTTGACTAGAATGTAAAATTTTTTTACCATCATGCTGATTAATTTTTAGACACTCGGCAGAATTACAGTTCAAACCACTGTGGTTAAAACTCATCCTTACAAAAAAAAAATAATAATAAAATAAAGTTTAAATAATTTTTCTATTTAAAGATTGACACTTTTGCTGTAACATCCAATACCAAGACCAACGGAAAATTAAACATTGCTATTGTGTAGGCTGATATGGCCAGGGTCTATACTTACATTAGGACATAATAATCAAGAATCTTTGCTGCAGTACCATGGCTGCAGCAAGTGCAATGACATTACCCAGAGTCTGAAAATAGTCCCCAGCTAAGTAACTACTGTAGGTAACAACACTGCATAATATCATTGTGCCTGCTTCAGCCATTGTACAGCAACAAAGTTCCTTGATTGTTATTCCATGATAATAGTATATTTCCTAAACATATAGGTAAACATAAAATGAGAATCCAATTTAGAAAAAAGTGGAATGTTCCTTTAAAAGACATCAAACTCCTTGCAATCCTCGGATAATAATCCCAATACCTATGGTCTAGCATAGATATATCAGATTCAGATATTTATAAAGGCTGTTTGTGATGTTCTGTAAAAGCACAATATCAGCATATGCACTTTGATCATCATCAACCAACATCCAAAGTAGGCCTTCAACATGGCACTCAATCACCGTCCTTGAAGATTTTACCTCTTCGTTTTCAAAAAGGCTTCAGCAGGACCTTATGTTTAGGATTTCCAGCACTTCGGAAACTCTGCAGATCCACTACAGATTAATGCAATAGCCATGATATTATACCATACAGTATCTTCATCTGTAACTGGCATCAATGTCTAAGATTGAGGAGTGTGGGATGTAGCTGCGGTGGTAGAACGAAGGTCTCGAGGGGTCCATGTAGATGACAGAGCTGGTAAGGCTTTTGCGGCCCTGTTTGAGTCTTGGTTGTCTCTGCCAGTGTCCCCATAAATGTTCCACCTGCTCTCTGAAAAAACTGGTGGTCAGTGTGTAAAGGATGGGGTTTAAGGCACTGTTGATGGGCAGGATGAAGATCACCACCCAAGATGTGATGGTTCCTGAAAGAGAGACATATTTTCCTTTAGTAAAATATACACTGCAGAGTGTTAGTTCAATATGAGTGAGATAAAACTGTAAATTTGATCAGCAGTTTGAAATCATTTCTGCTTCTATATTATTTACTTTTATTTTAACCATAACGTTTTGTGTGCTTTTGTGATTTTACAGTTTTTCCAATTGTTTACACACAAATACTTGTACTTCAGACACAATTTCCATAACATGTAACTGATGCACCAACCCCCTGAACCACTTCTGCTAACCTACAAGCACAAATCCCGCTTTACACTCAAATTGCAAGTTTACAACACACTTTTTTCAAAACACCACACACAATTCTCTGCATTTTGCACAATTTTCATGCAGAAAATCTTTTGTCTTCACAAGGAACACACTGTCATTTAAAATTGTAAAGTCAGTTGCCTTACTTTCCATATCAAGACATCACATGAGTAAACACTTGTCTCACAGAATTTGAATTTAGAAATCAGAACTCATCTGGATCATAACTGGTTCACTGCCCACCAACAATTTTTAGTGGTTTATCTCCCTCCATATTCTCCATTCCTCAAACCTATTGAGGAACTGTTTTTCTTCTGGAGATGGAAAGTGTATGACCGAAATCCACACACACGTATACCCCTTTTCCAAGCAATAGCAGTTGATGCTTTTCATGGCTGGATTCGCCATGCAAGGTGACATTCCCAAACTGCTTGGCCAGACCAAAACAGAAAAGAGGATGCAGTATAGCTGTTTTTATTTTGTTTTGTTTTTTACTGTAACTGTATTCTGTAAATACTTCTGTTGATGGTACATATAGACCACTTTATCTGCAACTTTGTGTTGGTTGATAAACACTGTGTACACAGTTTTTGTGGGGAAAATACAGTAAAATTTATTTGGTATTTGTGTTTTTTGTATAAAACAATATTCCTAAATATTTTACAATACACTTCTGTAGACCTATGTATTGTCTGTAGTAAGTGTAACACTGAACAAAAAAGACTGACAGTAAATCATTATGATGAATGGTCATAGTGTTTTACATTAAGCACATCCGTGTTCAACTGTTCTTATAATTGTCTATTGATGTGATGGCTTATGTGTGTCATTTGAAAACAAAAGACCATTTTGAGAAGAAATCACATTGTTTTGAGCGTAGAGTTTCATTTTGCAGAATAATTGAAGAGTTTTGCCCAGTGTGTGTGTGTTTTGTAATTTGTGTGTAGAGTTCTGACAATATGAGACCTGCTTACAGAAAATGTGTGTAAACAATTGGAAACAACTGTAATCAGAGGTCGGCACGGCGGAATGAACCGCCAACTCATCCAGCATACATTTTACGCAGTGGATGCCTTTCCGGCTGCAACCCAGTACTGGGAAACATCCATACACACTCATTTACACACATACTCATACTGTCAAACTCCGCACAGAAATGCGGTCCAGGCGGGATTTAAATCAGTGTCCTTGTTGCTGTGAGGTGACAGTGCTTACTACTGAGCCACCATGCCACCCCTTAAATTGTTTATATTTTTTAATATTATTTCACTTAAGTTAAATATGCTATTTTTTTTGCGACATATATGAAAGTTTAATCTCAAAATCGAGTAAAATCTGTTAACTAATAGAAATCAATTCACATTGTATAAATTACACTGAAAATAATAAGCAATTATTAATTGTAAATATTACGAATGCATTTTTTTTTTGGATATTAAGTATATGTATAATTCAATAGTACTTGATATTATTTAATTTATAAATCATATCATATGTATTTGTTCGTGTAATGTAATAAAGTGTAATAAAATAAAATTCTTTACACAATTTATAATAAAAATAAAAATTTGTTATTAATTTTTTATTAAATATATACATTTTTATATGTATTATAAATATAATTCCTTTATAAATATTATTAATTATTCATTTCATTACCAAAATGTTATTAAGATTCATTTGTAAGGCGATCAAACCTGGTATCTCCACCTCCAGTAGAGAGAGGATTTTGACCATGAATATGGGAATCCAGCAGAGGGCATCAGAAAACACGATGAAGAAGAAGCGGTGTGCCATGGCCACGTCTCTGTGCAGTCGACCCGGCAGCTCTGTGGCTCTGATGCCCGTCTTATAGATGGAGTAAAACATGCTGGAGTACGAGACCACGATGATGAGGAAAGCCAGCAGGTTAAGTCCTACAAGAATAAACAGAACTCTGAACAACAGCACTAGGCATAATGAAAACAGGTCAGGGACATTTCCATCTCAGAAGCGTGACTAAGAGGTTTCTTAAGTGTCTCGCTGAGGGTAAGGTTTAATGTGCTGGAAAATAGCTGAAATCTCTTCAGTGTGGTAGGTGTCATGAATAAACGGGTGTCATCAGAAGCTATGCTTACAGAATGTGGCACAGAATCAAAGCAGATTTTTTTCTTAATATTGAGTTGATATGTGATATTTTTAATATTGATGATTTTCGATATTTGTCATTGGTGCATATTTCACACGTTAATCGTTGTATTTTTGTTCATACTTGTAATCCTGGACCTCAAAATCATAAGTCATAAGTGTTTTTGATTTTGAATCTGGGATACCTGAAAGGTAATTAAATAAGTTTTCCATTGACGTATACTTTGTTGTGACAATATTTAATTAGATACAACTATATCAAAACAATATGGAATCTGAAAGTTAAATTAACACTGACAAAAATCCAAATACTTAGAAAATCACCTTAAAACATATCCATAGTAAGTGCTTAGCCATACGCATACTAATAAAAAATTATGTTTTCATATATTTACCGTAGGAACTTAGGAAGCATAGGAACAAAATATATTTACATAACATGATAATTACCTAATTTTGAAATCATTTCTGTCATAAAAGAAAATTCATTTATTTTCATTCATTCATTTTGGCTATTTTCAAAAAATACACCAGTGTAACATAAGAGCAACCTCCCAACCTTTGTTAGTCATAATTAGTGCCACATTCAATATGTCAAGCTGTTACTGAGTCTCAGAGTGTATCTTTATATACAGTTGAAGTCAGAATTATCAGCCCCTGAATTATTAGCCCCCCTGTTTATTTTTCCCCAATTTATGTTTAACGGAGAGAAGATTTTTGCAACACATTTTTAAACATAATAGTTAAATAACTTATTTCTAATAACTGATTTATTTTATCTTTGCCATGATGACAGTAAATTATATTTAACTGGATATTTTTCAACACACTTTTATACAGCTTAAAGTGACATTTAAGTCTTAACTAGTCTAATAAGGTTAACTAGGCAGGTTAGGGTAATTAGACAAGTTATTGTACAACGATGGTTTGTTCTGTAGACTATCAAAAAAATAAATTAATTAATAAATAAAAGCTTAAAGGGGCTGATAATATTGACCTTAAAATGGATTTTTAAAAATTAATAACTGCTTTTATTCTAGCCGGAATAAAACAAGTAGACTTTTTAGACTTTTTTTTTTTAGACTAAGACTTTTTCCAGAAGAAAAAAAATTTTCAGACATACTGTGAAAATGTCCTTGCGCTGTTAAACATAATTTGGGAAATATTTAAAAAAGAAAACAAAATTAAAAGGGGGCTAATAATTCTGACTTCAACTGTACATCTATATCTAAATGTTGGATATGATTGGCTAGTTTCTATGTACAGTATACATTAAAAAGTAATAATGTTAAAAAAGGTTACATTGTGATTTCATTCTTTGACCTTTATACCATTAATGTGCATCAAAGGTTACAGTAAGTCATTCATACATTACAAATTATTTATATTTCAAATAAATGCTTACTTTACAAATGAAACTTTCTATTATTCAGATCATTTTAAAATGCATCAAGAGTTTTCGCAAAAGTGTCATTTAAAGCAACACAACTTTAAGTATTAAGCCACAGTAGAAAACATTTCTTGGTTATTCAAATGATTTTTGAAGAATGTAACAATTCAGGGCTTTCATCACAGGTGTTATAATTATTTATTTATTATATATTTATTATTTATTATTATAATTATTAATGTATTATTTAAATTTTGAATTGATTGGTTAATTTATACAGTACAATATAATGACTTATAACTTGACTAAACACATGACTCCTGTAATCTTCATAAAAACATCTAGTCCTACTTTTTATATTAAGTGGCCATATTACGATGTCCTTTACTAACACTTAAATTAACAATTTGGCACAATGCACTGATTAGGAACATACATGTTTTTACATAGTACTTGTATTTTTTAAATGATCTGCATGTAAATAATATATGTAATCACATTTGGTTAAAAGTTTGGGGTCAGTAGGATTTTTTTTTTTTTAATAAGGTTCTCCTGCTCACAAAGGCTGCAATTTATTAATCAAAAATACAGTACAAATTGAAAAATTTTAAGCACTATAAAATAACTGTTCAAAAGTAGTTTATCATTTCATTTAATCATTTATTCCAGTGATTTTAAAGATGAATTTTCAGATTCATTACTCCAGTCTTCAGACACCTAATCCTTCAGAAATCACTCTAATATTAATTTTTCTTCTTCTTCGTCTTCTTCTTCTTCTTCTTCTTCTTCTTCTTCTTCTTATTATTATTATTATTATTATTATTATTATTATTATTATTAATGGCAATAGTAATAAAATCAATCATGACTGGAGTAATAATTTCATTTGAAAATACAAAAAATAAGTATTAAATAAATATTTAATAGTTTTTAACAATAAAATGTTTAGTTTTTTTTACATTTAATTAATGCCGTCTTGATAAACAGAATAATAATACTAATAATAATAATAAAACGTTTTTACCTGTAGTCTATATTTACACTCTTAGCCCATCCCTACACCACTACCCTTCAGCCTTCCCATACCACTAAACCTGTCCCTAACCTTACCCGTATTCCACCTCAGTAGAACCTGAAGTGTTGTGCAAAACAATGTGAACACAGTAAGTACACTGTAAAAAATCTGTAATGTCGCAGTTTTCTGTATTTAGCAATGTTTATATGTATTTTCCCCCGTTTATTTATGCTTTTGAATTACATAAATATGGGACCTTGACCTTTCTTCCAACAACTTTTAACCTTGAAAAGTATTTAATAGTTTAAAGTGATATATTGTCTGGGTTGGTGTTGTATATGGTAACCTTGTAATAAACTGCCAATACATTTTGAATTTTCAACATCAAGCCAACAGAGCCAATGTCCCACAATGCAATTCACAACCGTAAATAAACAGAAACTACTTGTGAATCGCAAAATACGAAAACTGTTTACAATATTTTTACAGTGTAAATCCAATATTTTTTTTTACCATTGTTAGAACTCACCAAGAAAAATCCCAGTGGAATATCCTTTTGCGACAGGCTTTTCCAGACGCTCTGAGTGAAGTGGGAAACACACTCCATTGAGTCCATAGTAATTCCCAAACGTATCCTCATTAAGCAGCGGCACGGCTGCTATAGAGATGCCCAGCAGCCATATAGAGACCAGGACGGTGAATGTTTGGCACTTGCTCGGTCGCAGGTGGCTGAAGGGAAAAACGATGACCAGGAATTTCTCCAGAGTCAAGTAAGTGAGCAGCATGACGGAAACCTCAGAGGAAAGCATGGCCAGAAACCCGATGGTCCGACACTCCAGACTCTCCATCCAAACCTTGGCATTCTTATTGTACTCGCCACGAAACTTCACATCAAAGATCCCCACAAAAAACAAATAGACCCCCATTAGGCAATCTGCACCTATGGATGAATAATGCATTGTGGTTAGGGGTTAAACAGGTGATAAACAGAAAAAAAAAAAAAAAAGAGTAAAAATATATTCTGTTTCCATTTGAAGGCTTTTCGTAATATATGCAGCTTCTTATTTAAAAGAGCTTGTCCCTTATGCTTAGATTTTTACTAAAGATAATAATAAATAATACCTGAATAATGATACTAATAATAATGAAGTAATAATAAAATTACCTGAAATCAAAAATTGTTATGATGTGCAATTTAAAATTCTGGAAAATATCTGGTGTCCTTTAAAATAAATCAAAACAAAAAGAGAATACCTCATTTAAATTTTACTTGTTCATATATTTGATTGTATTTGTCAGGCTGCTTTTAATAACAAAGACAAATAATTTCAAGGAGCTATTGTGGTTCAAATGGTATATATTATTGTGCTTTATTTATTCACCTGGTTATTTATTCATTTTCTTTTTTTGTTAAAATCAACACAAGTTTTCTTGTAATAAATTTGACAGCAACACGCTAAAGCCAAGTTCACACACTGCACAATTTTGGCCCTCATTTTCACTCGTCAAATTAGTTGCTTTTTCACGTTAAGAACACAGAGTAAACAATAAAGTGTAAATTCTCAAAGATGCTACCGAAAAGAACCTCCAAAATGTCACAGACATCCATGAAATATTTTTCATGTCGTTTTTACATCAATGTAGCTGACATGCATTGTAGGGATACAAAATCCAGTGTCAATTTTAAATTCCAGATAAATAAAACTGTTCTTATACAATACTTTTTTGTCATTATACACTGCCTGACAAAAGTCTTGTCATCGATTCCAGTTGTAAAAGCAACACATAACTTGACTTCTAGTTGATAATTTGGAAAAGTGGCAGGAGGTAGATTTTTCTGATGAATCATCTGTTAAACTGCATCCAAATCATCACAAATACAGCAGAAGAGCTATTGGAACCCGCATGGACCCAAGATTCTAAGAAATCAGTCAAGTTTGGTAAAGGAAAAATCCTGGTTTGAGCTTACATTCAGTATTGGGTGTGAAAGAGATCTGCAGAGTGGATGGCAACATCAACAGCCTGAGGTGTCGAGACATTTGTGCTGCCCATTATAATTACAAACCACAGGAAAGGGCAATTTCTTCAGCAGGATAGTGCTTCTTCTCATACTATAACCTCCACATCAAAGTTCCTGAAAGCAAAGAAGGTCAAGGTGCTCCAGGGTTGGTCAGCCCAGTCACCAAACATGAACATTATTGAGCATGTCTGGGGTAAGATGGAGGAGGCATTTAAGATGAATCAAAGAATCTTGATGAGCTCTGAGAGTCCTGCAAGAACGCTTTCTTTGTTGTTCCAGATGACTTTATTAATAAGTTATTTGAGTCATTGCAGAGATGTATGGATGCAGTCCTTTGAGCTCATGAGAGTCATACACAATATTAATTATTTTTCCACTGCACCATGACTTTATATTCTATACTGTACATTATTACTAAAAAGGCATGATCATATTTTATTTTGGTAAAATAAGCGTAATCTAGAGGCCTTTGCCTTTCATTTAAGCCATTTTTGATACCAAATGATCAACTGGAAATCAAGCCATTATTTGTTGTTCCCAAAACTTGCATAGGCAACAAGACTTTTGTCAGATGGTAGACATCGTTTGTTAATGTCAAATGGATGGCAAGCTTTTGACATTGAATTTTGACAAAAATATCCGCTGGAAGACAGTTGTTGGCAATTGCTTCAAGCAACTGAATTCCACATCAGAGAATCGTGCAGTGTGAAATCAATGATCTGACAACTTTGAAAATTATGCAGTGTGACCTTGCCATACGACAATATTATTTGTCTAATCCTTTTTTTTGTGCTGAAAAATTATCCAATCAGTGGCTTTATAACCAAAATGTGATTGGAACCATGTGTTTTGTAATTAGTTTAACCATTAATTGTGTTTATCGCTATTACTCACTAGATGCCAAAAGCAGATCTCAATAATGAGCACGTAGCTTCCTAAAAGCCCTGATTTGCAATTTGGTCTTGTGCCAAAATGTCTACGATTTTCTAGCACACATAAAACGTGCAATATTTTAAAAAGACAAATCACAACACCAGCAGGCCAAAAATCAATTTCTACTCGTTATAGCACAGGTCCGTGACCGAAGCACATGACATTGCAGGCTAAAATAGAAGTCTTTTCTATGCCAAACAGGGTGCGCTGATTAATGGCAGCAGTCTGTAAACTCCAGGAGGAGTTAGAATTGATTACTGAAGGTGATTGTAATAGAGAGTGAATCCTTTGCGGATTGAATTGTTACAGGGTTATAGATTTCCCTTCCGATCATGACAGCCTTTCAAGCGGAATGTCAGTCAGGAGATTGTCACCAGCGAGACTCCTTGGTTAAAGAGGACAGACAGCAGGAAGACCTGGAGAAAAGCAGTGCTCTTCCACATCTAAACACTGTCAACCACTGTCGCACATCTGATTGCACAAAGCGTAAGAGGAGGAAGAAGTCTTCAGTAAGACAAAAGCCACATGATTTTAAGGTAAATGGAAAATCAAGAGATAACTTGTGATATGTAATATGGTTCAGCATAATTGAGAGAACATTATGGGTACAGGAACACTTATAATTTGAAAGCCTGGCGTCCTAGAAAACAGTTTTTTTTTTCCAGAAGGGCCAGCTGCTCCTGTTTGCGTCATATTGCTTTTATAACAGTCTGCCAGTTATAGAAGAAATAAGCTCTTAAAACAGATACAGTATTTTCCCCTCTAATGTCTCAATAAATCTATTTTTAGGATGTGTGCTTTGGACTGTATATTTTTGTGTATATTATATTATGGACATGGGTAAAATGTATACCTCTGGTACTCACAGCACAAAACCTTGATGCAGAAGGCATGCAGGTTGTTTTCAGCCCGCAGGACTGTCCTCATACCGATGACAAAGAGGTTCCCAAAGCAGGTGATAAAAGCCATGACCCACACGGACACACGAAGAACCACATTAGCAAGCAGATCTTCAAAAGATGACAGGCCGTCTGAGTTGGGTTTACACTTCCGGACATGAGGGGCGTAAGAACAGTACTGGAACTTCTTGAAGTATCTTAAACAAAAAATTCAATATAAATATGAATATTAAACTTATTTTGATATTACATTAGTGCGCAAAATAAAGTTGTGCCTCCAAGGATAGCACATTTCACACTGAAGTGATTTAATGAATGAAATAAATTACATGAAATAGTAATGACAGCATGTCTACAATGAAGACTGATATTTTTCTGAAGAGCTGGAAGAGTATTATGTATATTATATGTGTTATATATGTATCTATTATTTATACAACAGTTCTGTCCAGTTCTTGAAACTGATTGGCTGATTACCATGCGATATTCTGCAAAGAATAGCATTCATACAGCCTCTTCACCCTTGTGTATTACTCTCTACAGTTTAGCATATATTGCAGCTGTTGGACAACATAATGTACTTTTGAGTTTTTTTTAGTCGAGAATGTAGTTGTTTAGATTGCAACTATGCAGTTTATTAATAAGGATAGTGACTATTTAAAAATATTTATAATTTTGAAGAATTTGTGCAGTTAGCCTGTCTGAGCAGGCCGAAGAAAGTGACGATTGACGTTCCACCACAAGATGGCGACAGAGACAGCATAGTCCTTAGAAAGAGAAAAACAGCCTTTTCTCAACATAAGTTTCAAACTACAGCTGAACAAATCATTATAAATCAGATAAATTACATTCTAAGTCAATCTTTCTACTTTTGTATTTTGTAGGGCTACATTTATACCACAGAAACTGCTAGTGTTTGCTTTGCGTTGGCTTTTTCAGGGTTAATTATTGTGATTTCCTGATTGTAACAGAAAAATACTGATAAATGTCTCTAGATTGATGGCATTTAATGCTGTTCAGCCTTATAATCTTAAAATGTAAGCAAAAATCACCTGTTTTGTCATCACTTTAGACATTACGCTAGAGAATCATTCAAATAATTTAGACTAAATGTCTAAAGTGACGTTTGTGAAGTAGCAATCATTTCTGCTGTTCTGACATCAGCTGCAGATATGAATAAATGATAGAAGTGTTTTTGAGACTGTCCTTGTTTGATTTTCTTTTACACACTATTATGGGGTCAAACTGTTGTATAAACGTAATATCACACTTGTAGCAGTGCAGTATGCCTGTATATCGTCACTGCCCAAAAACAGCCATATTGAACTGCTACGAGTGTAATATTGCTAGTATAAATGCTACATTTATAGGTTAATTAACAAATCATCAATGCAACCTGCTTGTGTAATTTGATGAACAAATGTGGAAAAATGATTCTTTTATTTCATTATTTTATTTATTAATTTGATTTTATCATTGTTCCATATTTGTGAGGAGATTAAAGGTTGGGGAAATGTTGTTCTGTTAAAAAAAGTTTTAAAAAATCATAAATACAAAGTAAATGTAAAACTAAAATAAAAAAGATTCTTAATAACTAACAAACATCACACTATTTAGAATAATAATATACAAATATGTACATGGTTATGCAGTATTTACATTAACACTAAATCAAATAGCTATATATTTTTATAATGTCACATAAATTGAAGAGCAATCTGCATGCTATTCAATATAAAGTACTATAGTGTTAGAACACAAAACAAAACATAAATATAGTGCTTTACATGTAGATGAATAATTGCATATTCCAACTAAAAGAAAACAGAATGAGATATTCACATGTAGGAGAGGTTATCCATGGGCCGGAACATGCTTGTCTGTATATTTGGGATCTCCACTCCCTCCAGGCCACTGCAGACCAGAATAATCAAGTTTTAGTATTCATGCCTGTTTATCAAGGAGCTTTGGTCATTTTGCTGACCTCTCGGTCACCATTTTCAAGCCCTGAGCCTCAGTAAATTTTAGAAGTTGGCACACAGCCTAGACTGCTGTATGTTTGCTTGTTTGTTTGCTTGTTTATTGTCAATCTGCACTACAGCCCAAAGCAAGCCTAACGGTAAATTAAAAATCAACTCCATGTGGGACTCATTTCATTTGGAAAACTATGCTGTTTGATCACTACAAAATATCACATTTATGAACAAATCCTGTTGATAAATCGCATAAAAAATTTCAGGTTAGTCAGTTACTTACAGAGACTGGAGCTGAATTAGATGATTAAACTGGCCAGGGTGGATGTGGTCCAGTGGGTTTTGGGACAGATTTCTACAAATACGGAAACAAAGAAGAGCGTTTTATGGTGAAACGTAATACAAGAATTGTAATCAAGTGTACTTACAGATAACAACATTGGCTTAAAACAAGATGTTTGCATACATATCAAATGTACTCACTGGCCACTTTATTAATTTGAGCAGATCTGCTCAAGTGCTCATTAATGCAAAGCTTATCAGCCAATTACATGGACGCTTTTTTATATAAATAGTCAGGACCAACTGCTGACATTCATGCAGAGAATTATGATCCTGGGAAAAGCGATTTGAACACGGTTTAGCGGTTGGTGCCGAACAGGCGGTTGTGGGTATTTCAAGAACTGCTGGTCTACTGGGATTTTCATGCACAAACATCTCTTTAGATTTACAGACAATGTTTAGAAAATAAAAATAAGGAATGAGAAGCAGTTGTGTGGCTTGTTGATGCCAGAAATCAGAGAAAAAAGTCAGAACAAGTGCTGTCCAAAGTCGCTAAATATTAATACAGAAATATTTGAAACTGCACTTTTTTAAAATTTACTTTATGCATGTTTGTCATAATTATTTGATTACAGTATTATGACAGCAAGTGATGTTGGAGAGAAAAAGGGGGGATGTTATGGGGAAAGGTTACCGAGTCAGGTCTTGAACTCAGGACTCCCAAAGCTCTGTTTACATTACATGTCAACGCACTAACCACTGTATGCAATCAGCACAGATGCAATTACATGATTATTTTTACAGTATCTATATCTGCCACACTCCCTCTACAGTTTCACTTTGTTCCTTTATTAGTTTAAAGCATTAAATTTCACAGTTGATGCTTATAACTGCTTGTGCATTTTAGGTTATCAACTTAAAGATAAAGCGCAAGACATGGCAGTAAAAAAATATTCATGCATTATTTGTGCATCTTTCTTTTTCGTTCAGTTGAGTTCTCTTTAACATGTTCTTGCACTTCAATGGATAGCCTGAATATATGTCACATAATACAAAATCATTGTTTTGTTTATTTTTCATGCACATCTAAAGTGAAAATAAGCAGCACAGGCAATAACATTAATCAATAGCAAAAGATTATAAACCACTGTTAGACCTTACTAATAAATGTTAAGTATTGTTTTCATCTGAATATTTGTTCTGCTTTACTTATAATTATTATATTTGGTGGTAGCGGTTATAATTTGCTTAATACTAACTGTTCAGTATCTTCAGTATTGTTTAAACTATATAAGTTCAGCTAGTATTTTTTTTTCTCTAATAGTAAAATCGTGGTCAGATTTATTCGAATATTACATTACAGCTGGACCAATTAAATTTTTGGACGGGCAAGTAAGGCTGCGTCCCAAATTGCATACTTCTATACTATATAGTATGCTAAAATCAGTATGCGAGTCGTATGTTTAAATACACAGAATTCGAAAAACATTATGTAAGAAGTACCCAGATGACCTACTACTTTCAGCAAGATTCTGAAGTGACGCTATGTTCTCCCATGATGCCCCGTGACAAAATTCATGACTGGAATTGAAGCAATGTAACTGACGTGGGTAGGTCACGTGATCATGACAAAATGGTGGATGTATCAAATTTCCATTCATACTACTGACATTCATACTGTAGAAAATATACTTTTCTATAGGTCAAGTAGTAAATTCAAATGCAGTATCTAGTAGGCGATTTCGGACGCAGCCTAAATATCTAAATAATTGTCCAGTCAAATGAAGAAATTAAGACATGCATAAAGATTGTAATTTTAATAATTGCTGTGGAAATATTTACCTATTGTATCAAAAAATGTATGAATTATTAGTATTTTTTTTAAAGTATCATATTAAAGGTACTGTAGAAATTTCCGTATACTGACAACACTACAGTAGTTCAGACTGGTTTGAGATAATAGAAAGAAAACAGTAACTGAAATAACTTGTTACAACCAAGGTTTGCACACAACTTGTCCTTGAAGCAGATAAGCTACAGCAGCAGAGGAGCACATCGTGCTTGCTTCTGTCAGTTAAAGGAGATGAAACTGTGTTTTCTATTTGCATGGGCTCACTCAAATTGGAAAGTGAAAAACTCACAATGTTATAAAACTCAAAGTTGATCATTTGCATGTGTTTTCAAGGAATTTCAAGACGAGTTTAAGGTATTCAGGCACAAAACTTTCAACATTTGTAACTTATAATAAAAATCTATTTTATGGAATTATTGGTACAATTAAGACTACAGAAAGTTATTTTACATATAATTTGATTACCACATTTCTGTACCTGAATACTATTTGTCTATCAAGAAATTTCTAGTTAGGAGCACTGTTTATTTCTTTTGTATCTTTGCTCTATTGTATTTATTTACGTTCAATCTAAATTAAGAATTTCTTTTTAAATAGAGCTATACAAGTCATGTGGGGAACTTGTATTCATGCCACAATATAAATCACAGAATACCAAACTATAGCAATGTCAGATTTTTCCAATATCACCAATGTCATTCACTATACTCAAACGGCCTCCACAGTAACCAGATCTCATCCCCACACAATACTAGCAATGTGTAACTAATAAAGTGGCTGGTGAGTGTACTTTATACAATAAGTGCTGTTAAATCATCTGATTACTTACAGACTTTGCAATGACCGTAAATCCTTGAAAATACCGACTGGCAGTTCCTTTATCGAATTATTAGAGAGATCCCTGAAAAAAACAACATTTCAGATAATAAACTTACTGATCCTCTTCTTGTTCATTGTTTCCAAGCACACACTCATTCACAGCAATAGTTAATTGACACTCACAGGTCCCCCATCATGCGCAATGATTGGAAGGTGTTTTCTGGCAAACTCTTGATAAGATTGGCTCGCAGTGACCTAGAAAGAGGTACGATGAAAAGAATATTGATCATAAACCTCATCGAAAGGGTACTGAATTGCTATTTGCCACTCTGTGATGAGATTGCTGTCTCTGTAAACATTACCATTTTTAAAATAACTGTTATCAGCCACAGCTCAAAATAGAGAGAGTGACCTCTAAGAGTACAGAGGGAGGATGGCTTAAATAACATGCAACAATAATATTATCTATTACATATAGCAGATCTGAATCTGAATTACTTGGATCAGAGAAAAACTGTAACTACAGTAAACAGAGTCAGATGCGAAGAAAAAAAGTTATAAAAAAAAATAAGATCATGGGAGGGGGAAATAAAAACGGAAACAAGATATTTTCTACAGTATGGGTCTCAACTCAATTTCTGGAGTGCCACAGTAGTGCACACTTTTGCTCCAACCCTTATCAAACAGAACGGATCCAACTAATCAGGGTGTCAAAGACTACTAAAGACTAATGAGCAGGTGTGAGTTGGAGATGGTTGGACTTAAATTATGCAGAGCTGCAGCCCTCTAGGAATTGAGTTTAAGACTATTGTTCGACAGTATAAGTACCAATATGGGTGATTTATTAGTTACAAAGTTAAAGTCAACCTCTGAAAGCACACTTAAAAATATAAGACATTTATCTCCAATAGTGCAATAATATAATGAAGTCTTTTAAATAAACAATAAAGCATATTAGAACAAAAAAAAACAAGACCATTCTCTATAAATGAATTCTCTATGATCCGACAGCCAAAAAAAAAAAATCTATTTGACACACAAAACCATTTTGCTCACATCTGAAGGCAAGTTATTTGCAAAAGAAGACCATATAATTTAAATAAAAAATCTTTTTAATCCTCTATTACTGAAGAAACAACATTTACTTGTATATCTTAACCCATGTGAATGTTTTCATCCACTCTGTGGCGATTTTGAGTCTTAATTTGATGCCAACTTTCTCTTAATATCTCTTAATTAAAAAAAGCTTAATTTCTGGCTTTAATATGGAGTTATAAAGAGTTAATGTATGTATAGAATATATGTGTATGTGTGTGCAGGAGTGTAGCTAGCAATTTTGGTCCCTATTCACCCTATATACTGGGGCGGAGGGGGTGGTGGGAGGGGTTTCGCTTTGTGGGATGTGGGGTGGGGGTGTGTGTGGGGGGGTGGTATTGGGTTGGGTACGATAGGTGAAAGTGAACTACTAGTGTACTAGTAAGAATATTTATAAAAACTATAATTTGTTTTTATACTTCATAGAACTCCAAATAAAAAAACAGAAACTATTATCTTTTAACTTTTGACTTATAGAGTTAATGGTGCTGACTTATCAATAGTAAAAATAACAAATGTTACTTTTTCCCAATAGACGAAACTACTAACCATCAAGAATTTATGATTATTTGGTGTCAAGTCAAGTCAAGTGTTGGTGCAATTAAAAAATTTGGTTATAATGGAAGTCAATAGGTCAAAAACAGCCACGAACATAACGAAAGTGTAGTTCGTTTGAACAATACACAAAGGTCAATTAAAATAACAAGGATTTAAAATGTTTGGGTCAATCAAAAAGTATCATTTGCTGTTCATTTCTCAGTTAGAATACTACATTTGTTATTACTTACAGCACAGTCAGATGTTCACAGTCTAGCAAAGTTGACAAGCCCAAAGTCGTGATGCTATTACCCTCGAAATCCCTTTAAGAAAACAAGTTGTAAAGAACATTAAACAGTAGAAACGTACAATGCACATAAAAATCATGATCATGATACATGGTTTAGTGAATTTTTTATACAGGCATATTATCACATGCTGCTTATAAAATGGTATTAAAAGGTAACGTATCAGCTGAAGGTCAATGACAAAAAAAAAAAAAAGCACGTCGACAATTCAGTGAAATCCAACTCGTCTTTTTGCTCTTGGCTGTCAATGAAGGACAGCATGGCCAAAGAGAGAAAAGCAGTGCATTAGTAACTGAGAACATACTGTTCTTGTACTCCACAGAGACACTTACGAAAAGGACAAGCTCCAGGTAGCATTTAAACCTGTCTGGGATCTTTAAAGAGTCGAGTTTGAAAAAGTATATTACATTAATTGAAATAAATAACATTGAAAAGAAGTTCAAAGGAATATCAATGTACAAAAGATGTATGACAGGTTCAATAGTTCAGTAGTGTCAGGCATATTTGGAACAAGAATAAATTGATGACACAATAAAAGAATCTGTTTAAGATTCACAGTCACAAAATACTATTTAATTGCAATTATGCATTTTATATTTCGTCATTATACTTCAAATCATTAGATTTTACCCATTGTTAGAAAGACTTCTTTTAAGGATTACACTCATTGTTACATCTGCAATAGAAAATGATGAAATGGAGATTCAAATGCAGTCCAGTGGGTTTTTTGTGAAGTGCAGAAAATCAGGAATGATAAAAAAAAAATAACAATCAAAAACAAACTAAAGAATAACAAAACCAAACCTGGGCACACACAGACATCACAGGGGTAACTAAGAAAACTACTGACAATGAAGGGATAGATAGAACAGGCTACAAATACAAAGAAACACTTAAACAAACAAGCTGACATGAGGGGGACACAACTGATGGCCAAAACTACCTATGAAGAACACTGGAGAACTAACATTCAGACAGTTGTTGTTTAATTCTATTTGTGCCTCCAAATATAAAATTAAACAGAAAGCTTGGCAAGCAATTTTGGAGAATTTGATGTTTCCCATTGAAACAGAATGCCAGAGCATACTTTGTGAGAGGTGTTTCAAAAATGACTGCCGAGTGAAATGACTTGCCTTAAAGGGACTTTGCTAAAACAAAACACAGACAAGGGTACAACTATGATAACTTATTTTATAATAACAATAATATTTTATAATTATATTTTTATTTTACAGTACAGTTTAAAATATGTCTGTTGCTTCATTTTATTTATGAAGAGTTATTTTACTCATATTTTGACAGTTACGTAACACAGGTATGTATATATATATATATATATATATACATATATATATATATATATATACACATCATGTATATCTTGTAAATGTAATTTCGTGCACACAACAAAATATAAATTATATATTAAGTTTGGCTAAAATAAATAAACAAATACATAAATAAATAACTGCTAAGTAAATAGTATTTGCCCTTTTAAACCACTTTTTCATTAATTAGCCTAACTTGTCTAGTTAACCTAATTATAAACTGTATGTGCCATTAAAAATATGTTGTAAAAAATATTTTCTTTAAAATCACTTGGGAAATATTTGAAAAATAATAAAAAAAAGTCTGCTTCAAATTCACATCTTTAAAAATTGACTATAGCTTGTGAAATAAATTATTTTGTATCCTGCCAAAAAAAAAAAAAAACTGTGTGCAATTCTTCTTTTTATATCCTCAATGCTGTAATATGATTTATTAATACAAATATATATATATATTCTGTGAGCTGCCTGGACTCTAGTAGGGAGCCACTTGTTTTTCATATTCCATTTGACAACTCAATCATGAGTCTGGATGTTCATGAATAAAAATAACACTTTGGGTTTTAATAGATTAAACACTTAATTCATTTAAACTGGAATTTGCTGTGTTGCAATTTAAAAACAAGCTACGGTTTTGAGACTTTCCAAAACACACAACCCTCTGGCTTATGCAATATAGTGTATTTCTGGGACGAGCCCTCCAGCTTCTCTTGAAGGTTTCTCAGCTTGCTTTAGTTTCACAGTCAAACACTCGCAGCCCGGCTGGAACAAATTTCAGGAACAAGTTCAAGAGATCAGTCAGAACTGTCAGTCTAGACTTCTCTTGTATTATTATGAGATTCACATTTCCACAAAAGTACACGTGAACTGACAACTAGTGCTAGTACACCACAGGCAGCTCAGTGGTTTAATCAGGCTCAAACCCTCAAATCCCTCTAAAGTCTTATAAGATCTACATTTTTGATGAGTAAAGAATAGCAGGAGGTTTCTGGGTGTACCGGTACATCACAAAACCTGAGCTACCAACATCTTCCTACACTCTTAGACTGCCGCAATTTTACAGTTATTTACTGCAAAAATGGGCAGCAAAATACCACAAACATTTTTTACAGTTCATTACTGTAATATGAACTGCATTGGGTCATTTTAAAACTTTTACAGTAAATTATTGCATATTAGGAATTTGCGATATTCTACCGTAATCAAAATAATCAAATACTGCTGTAGATGTAGAAAACAATGGATGAAAATAATAAAAAACATAATAATTAACATCTTATTTCGCAAAATGTATTTAAGAAAGACAGCTAATTTAAAATGGAAAGAAATACCAAAAAACAATTAAAATACTGCTGTACATGATCTCGTTACTTGTTTGAAATCCATTACATTTAATAGTAAATACTAAAAATACAAGATATAACAAAATACAAAAGTCTTTGTACTGCTAAAATGAAAACTAAATAAATTACAGTAAAATTACTGTAAAAAATAATATAAGAAGTCGTGGTAAGGATATTTTACTGTAAAATTAAATTGTGGTAGGGCCCTGCAACTGTAAAACACATTTACGGGTATGTTACTGTAAAGGGGCAGTTAACTTGCTGGCAAAAGTGCTGTGTTACATGCCTAGGGGTGTTGCTCTGTTGTTCCCTCCTCCCCATTCTGTTTTTATTTGCTCTCTGCTATCCTTCTAAAATCTAGATGTTTTAATTGGCTCACAAGGTTTTCACGAGTGGACCAATGAGAAGAGGATGGGGGTCATTTAATGTGACATCTCCAGTCTCCAGTGATGACTCGCACCAGACTGGGGGGAATCCTTCATCTTCTGTCACTGCTCTTTGTCTTTCTGTGTGACATGACTGTTCTCTGGTTCATTATTTTGAGTTGTACATTTATTCTGAACATCCAAACTAAAACTGTTAAAATCTACTAAAATGGAAGTGAAAGTAAAGTACAACACTGACATACACGTAGCTGATTCTCTGTTAAAACATTAGGTTAGAAGCAGGTGCTACCCCCAGTATGTTTTCTCCAGCAAGTACAGTTGTAGTGAGGAGTGTGTGATGCAGAAGACATTTTTTCAGCTTTCTCTTTAGTTATTTAGAGATGGGGAGGGTTTAGTTAGCTTGTTTAATGTGTTATTTTCTTTGATTTGGCACCTCTTAATTTTCTTCCCTCTGTAAAGTTTTAATTTGCTTATTTGTTTCTTTTGCATTTTTTGTACAGATACGCATTAGTAAATATGATTTAGGTCATTTTAATATTCTTATTTTTTCTTTCTGATCTTGATTGTAAATAAAGCGCACCATTTTTTTTTTTTAACACGTCTGTCGTCTGTGTCGATTCATAGCAGGTAATGTGACAGCAGCTAATGGGAATTTAAAAAAGATATTGGGTTGTCATAATTATGTTTAGCCCTTTTCATCCTCCAAACCACACAGGGCATAAGTGCTGCTGCCACTAAGCTACCACAAAAATAAAATAAAATGTCTAACAGTGTAAATGAACTGAATTCATAATCCTTTATGTTGAGGCATGCATAGTGAGTAGGAGAGAAGTGGAAACTTACAGCCAGCTGAGAAAGGGCATATGGGCACAGAGTCTGGCAGAAGGAAGGGCTTCTAAAGAAGTGTTCACCATTGACCTGTGAAGATGATTACATGAGGTGGGTCAAAACCTGTCGGCAGACATTTAAAACTACAGCACACAGGCTTCAAATTCAAATGCTATATTTTATAGAGCAATATTTTCTGAGACTGAAGAAAAACACTGATTCTGAAGAACACTTTACACGCTGATAATGAGATTTGATTCATTAAAAGAAGGAAGTGCAACACATTATTAATGAGAATGGATATATTATTAAGGCTTACAGGAAGAAGAGGGAGCTTAGGCCAGCAAATGTGTTGGCTGCAATTGTTGTTATGGGATTGTCGTCCAAAATCCTGAATAAGAAAAAAATCAGTACCAAAAAATGTTTCCAAAACTCCAGCCAAGTAAATGGACTTCATTTAACTGCTTTAATTTCCCACTTATTAATTTAACCCTTTGATTTACCCTTGCAACCTCTGAATATAATGCTTTCTTGAAGAATTTGTGTTTAATGTGAGATCAGATTTCTATTTTAATGCTGTTCTTTTGCACTTGTGACAAAATATATCAGAATTTACAAAAAGCAGCAAGCAGTACAAAAGTTATAAATAATAATGAAAATAATGATGATAATAATAATAATAATATTAATAATAATAATAATAATACACTGTAAAAAGAATCCTGGTTGTCTTAAATTTTTAAGCTGTAAATTAACTTATAAGTCCATTGAACTTATACTATATTGAACTGACTTAAAACTGCTTTCGTAACTTATAAAATTAAGTTAGAACATGATTACCTTAGTTTAATAAGTTACAATGACCTAAAAAAATGCTGTCAGGACTAACTGATCATGTAATGTTTTAGTGTATTAATAATAAAAGCTATAGTAATACTACTACTACTACTACTACTACTACTACTACTACTACTACTACTAATAATAATAATAATAATAATAATAATAATAATAATAATAATAATAATTAGTAGTTTGATTAGTATTTGAATTATTTTTAATATCATTTGCACATATGCAAAAATTATGTTTAAAGACAGTTTCGGTACATTACAGCTGTAGTCTTTGCATAAACACCTGAATTATCTTCACTTTGGATGATGGTAAATTCAAGAGCATAAAAGGACAGCATTTACAGCTTGTTGATGTGTTGAGGGTTGTACTCACAACCACTTAAGTTTACGAAGATCTCTGAACACTCCAGGGGAAAGCAAGGAGATGGAGTTCTGGCTTAAAGATCTGCAATACAAAATACAGCAATTACAGTACTCAATTCACCATGGCTAATTTATTTTTATATATTAGATAAAGGTTAGGAACGTAGTGTTTGACATTTGAAGCAAAGGCTACTGCTTATTAGTGTGCGCTGATATTTTCTCAGAATGTGCTTAAAGAAAATAAAAGCACTGTTGTTCCATCATTAAAAATAAAAAAGTTTATTATTAAATAAAGTCACTTACAGTTTTTGTAGCTTATACAGTCCACTGAAAGCCTGAATGGAAACAGTGTTGATGCAATTATCTTGGAGAAACCTGTAAAAGAAAACAAAACAATAACCATTTTCTAAGAGGTAGTTTTAACAAAAACATTAATGGAAGTTTGTTTGCAGATGAAATGTCAATGAAATGAACAGAACCACCTCACAATTTCACAAAAAAGGGGCAAAAACTGTCCCTGTACATTTAAACTAATGTAAGTGTAAAGTAAAATCTGAAAATGAATTAAAAATGCAAATTTGGAATCAGATTACTAAGATTATTTTTCAGTGCTCACATTTACATTCAACCCAAGCTCATTCTGGAAACGTAGCCCCGCGGACGTTTCTGGAGGCCGCGATTTACGTGGCCGCAGGTATGTAAGGCCGCGTTTAGTTTTTTTCAAGCGAACGCTGCGGGTCAGTGTGGCGCCGCTCTGCCTCTCCTCTTCGCGCTCGCCGGCCGACGGCTCGCCTCCGAGTGGAGGGCTTTCCCGATGCAACCAGTTTGTCCACTTAGCTCACAGCGTTGCGTCGGCGGAGCGGAGGCCCCGGAGAAGGAGGAGTAGGAGCCGGCCCCGAGGACGACGACCGGGATCGAGTCCGGGGAACAGCTGTTCCGGAAATCAGGTAAGACGAAAAACGTAATCTGAAAAATAAGGGCGAGAACGCGGCGGGATCCGAAAACGCAGTCGAAATCGAAAACGAGGGCTTTTGCTTTTTTTTTTTTTCTGGACGGCTTTTGCGAACCGCCGCTCGTGTTTAGGGAAGGAGGAGGAGGAAGAGGGGGGCGGCCGAGTCGGCTGATCCGGCGGCTTTTCGCGCGCCGTTCCCGAGAGGTGCCCAAGACTCGAAAAAGCGCGCACAAAAATCGCGGTCCGCAGAAACGTCCGCGGGGCTATGTTTCCACAGTGAGCCCGGGTTGTTTACATTACAACCAATCACACACACACACACACTCACACACATAATTCTGTTTTGATTATGAATTCAATAGTCAATCAGAGATGTTTTCCTGACAAGCCATTGTGACGTGACCTAACCAATCACAAACCAACCACAAAAAAATACACTACAAACTAAGGCTGATGTGGCAATTAATCAAAAACTTCATAAACTTTTTTGAGACCCTGTTCATAACACTCTGTATTCCATAATCACTTTTGTGAGGATGCTTGTCTACAGACATGCCAAGTACAAACAAAGATTTGGTTTAGGGTGGAGTTTGGTGCCACGCCTCCTTTAAAAAAATTTTACATTTTCATACACAGTATAAAAAACTATATGATCAATTAGTCCTGAAAGCATGTTTTTAGGTCATTGTAACTTATTAAACTAGGTTAATCATGTTCTAACTTAATTTTATGTGATGAGAAGCACACAGACTTATATAATGACTATGCACTGTATATAGGATATATAACTTTATAAAGACAGTTGATTGATATCTATGAATACAGTTAAAGTGTGTCTCTGAAGTACTGCATCTAAAATTAAAGAATGAATAAATATTTCAACAAACATTTGAATAATAGAGGTGCTAAATAGTTACCTCAGGACTGTTTCACACATCCTGCATCTGTGCACTGTGAGCATCACTGTACAACAGTACAGTGTGTTTTTATTTCTAGGTTACCATATTAAATATGTATTAATGGCTTTAAATTATAAAACTGATGGCCACTGATAATTATTCATGAATTTACATCAGAAAATAAACACTGAAGTTGAAATAAAAACATTATTAGAAACCTTCTCCTTGTACAACTCTGTCATCCCCATGTCATTAATAATAAAAATACCAGGGTTGATTTTTTTATATGTGTTTTCATGCAAAGCCGTTTCAAGGTTTAAGTAAATTAAATATGTCATTTACAGCTTTCCCAGACAGTTTAATTTTCAGAAAACAGCTTGAAATGTATTTAAAAACACGTGACACGGTGTTGTTCCTAGTCCTCTACTCATGGCACAAGGAAAAATAAATGAATGAACTTAGTTTGCACTGAAAGAATCTAAACATTTATCCATCAACATGTTCAATTTCTTCAATTAAGAGCAGCAGTTTTCTATTTTTGGATATTTTACTTCTTTACTGCTGCACGACTTTCATAAGTGAATGAGCTCTTTTGGTTGCTTAATCAGCCTCTGCCTTCTCCATTGAAGCTCATTTAAAGCCATAGAAACATTAAATAAAAGAGTTCACTGTATACGTATATGGTTTATTTAGTAAAGTAATGGGCAACGTGAAATGGGCAATTGTTTTACCATCTAAGCTGTTTGTTATTACTATTTTTATAGCTTTAAATAACATTTTGTTAAATACATTACTATTCAAATGTAGGAATGATGATTTTTTAAGAAATAAAACGTGAAATTTTTACATTGATTAAAAAATATTTGTAAAGACATGCTGTTTTATGAAAGCTTATTAATCAAAAAACAAAATGAATGAATGAATGAATGAATGAATGAATGGATGGATGGACGGACGGACGAACGAACAAACGAATGAATGAATGTATAAATGAATGAATGGATGGATGGACGAATGAACGAACGAATGAATGAATGGATGAATGAATGTTTTTTACATTGATAAAAAGCATTGGTAAAATTAGTGTAGTTTATTACAATGATTTCTGAAAAAGTTGCTGCTGAAAATTAAGCTTTGGCACCAGAAAGGCATTTTAAAATGTATTAAAATACAAAAGTCATTTTAAATTGTATATTAATTATATTTCACATTACTGTACAGCCTTGTGAGAATTTAAGAGAAGATACAATTGAAAGAGATAACTTTTTCTACACTACCTGTCTACTTCTTGTCGCCTATCCAAGTTTAAGAAACAACAAATTATAGCTTCTAGTTGATCATTTCGTATCAGAAGTAGCTTATATGAAATGCAAAGGCGTCTTTATGCTTATTTTACCAAAATAAAATATGATCATGCTTTGATTTTCAATTATTTATAGAATTTAAAGTCATGGTGTAGTGGAAAAAGAATTAAAATTGTTTATGACTCCCATGAACTTCGATTACTACATCCATACATCTCTGCAATGACTCAAATAACTTATTAATAAAGTCATAGGAAATGGCAAAGAAAGCATTCTTGCAGATCCACAATTCATCAAGATTCTTTGGATTCATCTTTAATGCCTGCTCCTTCATCTTAGCCCGGACATGCTCAATGATGTTCATTTGGTGACTGGGCTGGCTAATCCCGGAGCACCTTGACCTTCTTTGCTTTCAGGAACTTTGATGTGGAGGCTGAAGTGTGAAAAGGAGCGCTATCCTGCTGAAGAATTTGCCCTCTCCTGTGGTTTATAATGTAATTGGCAGCACAAATGTCTAGATTCCTCAGGCTGTTGATGTTGCCATCCACTCTGCAGATCTCTCGCATGCCCCCATACTATATGTAACCCTAAACCATGATTTTTCCTAAACCTAACTTGACTGATTTCTGTGAGAATCTTGGGTCCATGCGGGTTCCAATAGGTCTTCTGCTGTATTTGTGATGATTGTGATGCAGTTCAACAGATGATTCATCAGAAAAATCTAGCTTCTGCCACTTTTCCAAATGATCAACTAGAAGTCAAGTTGTTATTTGTTGCTTATACAACTGAGATCGACGACAAGACTTTGTCAGGTAGTGTATAAGAATATTAGGAAACACTTTAGTTTAATAGCCCATTTTTAAGATATTAACTGTTCATTATAAAGTATTATCTTATTTTGCATCTCTAATCCTACCTAAAACCTAAACACAACTTCAACTACCTTATAAACTATTAATAAATAGCTAAATAGTAGTTTATTAAGCTAGTAATGTTGGTTAGTAGTTTGTTAATAAAGTGAATTTTGACCTAAACTAAAGAGTTAACGAATATTATAACTAGAACATAAAATATTTGTTTTATAAATGCTTGTTTTTACTTGTTAGTTCACTTGAAAAGGACAAACCTTACCATTACATCAATTACTCTCTATTAGTATAGCACTGATGTCTTTTCAAAACAACTATCGTACAGCAAGTGCACTATCCTAAATTCAGTCTATATCGGTCTGTACTACAAAGCAGATCTGCTACAGTACTTCTTTAATTGGCTCATTAATCACTAGACAGCAACACGCTGAATCCAGGGTTTAATGGCGTACTATAAAGAAACCTGCCAATACTGAGATTAACAAGCAGCAGTGAGCTCGATTTGAATGAAGGTGACCATGGCCTCCTCATAAAAGCTTCAGTGGATTCAGCAGAAAGCTGATCATAAACGTTAATCAGCTCCATGCTGGAACCAATTGTTTTTTTGTACCACATAAACAGGGCGATAGCTGTCCAGGTTGACAGCTTCATTATATGACCCTCCGTGTTGATTTGTGGATTAGTAAAGCGTCTATACTCGAGCTCAGTGCATACTAACATTTCTGGGCAGGGCTTTATTGTGCATGTGACTGAAATTATAATGATGGGCTAGTAGTAAAAGGCTTATTCATACTTACAGCCTTTGCAGTTTTATATATTTGATGAAGGCTTCATCAGGTAGTGTTCGAATCTTGTTGCTCTTCAATGACCTGTACAAAACACAAAGAGCAAGTTAAACACTAAATATTTTTGTTGCATAGTATATACTGTATTTATCAGGTGTCACCACAGCAGAATGAACCGCCAACTATTCCGGCATATGTTTTTCACAGCGGATACCCTTCCAGCTGTAACCCAGTACTGGAAAACACCTACACACTCTCACATTCATGCACTAAGGCCAATTTAGTTCATCCAATTTACCTATAGCGCATGTCTTTGTACTGTGGACCCTGGGGAAACTCAAACCAACATGGGGAAAACATGCAAACTCCACACAGAAATGCCAACTGGTCCAGCCGAGACTCAAACCAGTGACTTTCTTGCTGTGAGGCGACAGTGCTAACCACTGAGCCACCCGATTTTAATGCTAATAATTTATAATTGTTATATAAATATATAATTGTCTTTTCACCAATGTACATATAAAACAGCTTATTACACACTAAAGGCCTCTTAACATATTTGACTGTTATTTTGTAAAACTGCAGGTGAATATTCTCATTTTTATATTTGCAGCATCAATAGATTGCATTAGTATCACCCGGCATTAGTATTTTCCAATTGATTTTTCCTATAAGAAATTCTTAAGGAAGTTTTACGCGCTATCTATCACCAGTTTTGAGGAGAATCATAACATTACAAACTACAAGCAAAGAAAATTTGACAAAATGACTAAAAGGAAATGGGAATGAAAGAACTATATCCTTGTGAAGCATTGTGGATGATAGAATCACATTAATAATTATAGAGAAATATACAATTGTAGTTGATTGTAAAAATGATAATGCTTTGTGTGAGTGGGTGGAGTCAAAGATTGTTTTTGGTGCTCCAAATGTGGGTTTTATCATTGTATGAGTAAAATAAAGCTATATTAACATAGTTTATGCAAACTGTTTTATTGTATAAAACGTATTTCTTAGGCTATGTAAAATTAACAAACAGTAAAAAAAAAAAAAAATTACTAATACTTTCCTTCTTAGACTTTACAGACCTGAAACTTGCCTATAGCACTTATTCAGTGTTGCTTTTATAGTTGTGTAAATTGCTTCCTTGTCCTCATTTGTAAGTTGCTTTGGATAAAAGCGTCTGCTAAATGACTAAATGTAAATGTAAATGTAAATTTGAGGTGTGACGTGTGAGTCAGTAGGCTGTACAACAATTCTTCAAATATTCAGTTCTTTAATTCGCAGACCCAATTTCACTCTTTAATTTGCAAACTGCCGTTATAAAAATCCTATAGGAACATATTGAATGAATCAGCCCTGTATTAAAACATCATTAATTTAACGTTAATGAAAAGGCCATTCTGTGCTGTTTCCTGCGCATCATTAGGTTCACATTTCCGTGTACTTTACAGTTTTCCCTGAATATATTTTTCAGACAATAACCACCACAATGGTCCTCCATCAAATTTTGACACATTAGCATATTAATTAGGTCTAAAGAGTGAAATAAACTTTTGCATGTGTGAAAGTTCCTGCAAACTATTATGAATCAGAAGCATATTGTGAATATTTAATGACTTTGTTTTGGATCGGTTGCCAAGTACTCGGTTTTCCTGTTCCTTCTGTTTTGATTAATCTGACAGTTTTTCCAAACAGTGATTTATAGTTTTGAAATATTGTATTATATTACACTGAAGACCAATACTTGAAATATTCTACATCCTACCAATGTTAGAACTGTGTTTTAGTTTTAGGTTCTGCGAGGACAAAGGATACTATTCTTGTTTAATTTAAAATGCACTGTTTATTATTACTATCTCATAGTGACTATTGCTTTTCAAGTTCAAATTGTGTATAATGCATAATAATAACTATAAAGTTTTCTTTTTAAACCTGTTTTAAGGAATGAGAGTGCCGAATTTTGCCACTTGGGCAATACCTGACTGGCTATTTGAATAGTTTTGTTATGCAGACCTGGCAACACTTTATGACCATCTAACACCAAGAATGACAGCAATAAGATACTTGGTCACACTTTACAATAGGGTTTCCTTAGTTAATTTAAATATCAATGCGTACTAATTATGAACAATACTTGTACACCATTTATTATATAGTTCAACATGTACTAATGCGTTATTAACAACCAAATTCTTGCTTGTTAACAACAGTTAATGCACTGTACAATGAACTAACAACAAATGAACAATGTTTTTTATTAACTAACATTAACTAACATAAATACTGTAAAAAATATATTGTTCATTGTTTGTTCGTTAATAAATGCATTAACTAACATTTACTAATACAACCTTATTGTAAAGTGTTACCAGATAAATAAATAGTTATGTAATAGTTCTAAATTTAAATGAATAGCAGAATCCATACAGCTAAAGGCATCAAGCAGAACCATAAAAACAGCTGAAGACCAATAAAAAATATTAAATATTAAAGTGGCAAATGGCAAACCGAAATATAAATATAATAAGGTAAAAAGTATTAAACAGTAATTAAACGTTTGTCTCAACCCTCTATAATTAAACAACCAACATCAAACATAATTTGTTACATTTGTAGACATCATGTTGGAAGGCTGCGTACAGGGAGGTAACATTCGCTGACACCTGTGGAATGGATCTCAAGCTGGCATGCACGCAGTGGATCTCAGTGTTTATGCAGCGGCACACATCAGGGTACTGCTCCACTTCTGCGGGACAGGAGAGAGAAACATGCACACAAAAACACACACATTAAGATTTTAAAACTCTGACAATGCTATAAAATAAATAAAACTGTAAAAAATATCTGTTAATTAACAGTTTCTGTATTTTGTGTTTTCTGTTTATTTATTTATGGTTGTGAATTGCATTATGGAATGTTGATCTCTGCTCTGTCAGCTTATGATATTGAAAATTCAACAGTTTAAGTGATTTTAGTTGACATTTTAGTAGTTTTAAATAATAGAATGCATAAAAAATAATAATATATAGAAAAATAAATCTGTAAACTAACAGAAAATGTAATGGCAGTTTATTACAAGGTACTTATACCATAATATACAACACTAAAAAGCTATTAAATCACTAAAAAATATAAAAATATATAAAAAAATGTAACTTTTTCAAGGTTAAAAGGTGTTAGATGAAAGATCAATGTCCCGTAATACAATTCAAAAGCATAAATAAACAGAAAAATTTAAAACATGAATCCCAAAATATGGAAAATTGCTAATTTACAGATATGTTTTACAGTGTATGAAAAGTCTTATGCAATTATAAACCACAATGCAGTTAAAATCATAATTATATTAATCAAAAAACAATTATTTAAAGTTATAACTTAACTTGTACTTCAAGTGATATTATTCAACCATACATTTGCCATAGTTTAGTAACAGTCTGTACTAATGAAATACGTTTTAGATTGTCTAAAACTAAGCTGTTCTGTAACTGTCTATCAAGACGTAATAGGAGTAGGTGTATCTTTACGGCAGTCAGTGGCAAGCTCTTGAAGATAACCCCGTTTAAATGTCCGGTCGAAGAGGTCAGCCCAGCCACTGTTATCCCCTTCGGTGAGACGGACGAAGAGACAGAGATATAGAGATGAGACAAACACACACACATTCACACAAAACACACACATGCATAAGTTTTTAATATTTTGAAGTCATGAAGATAGACCGACCGACCGACCGATCGACAGAGACAGACAGATAGATAGATAGACAGACAGACAGACATAAGTAAGCAGCTCTTACCACAGTTGTCCTCATCAGCTCCATTGGGACAGTCTTTCTGGTTATTGCAGTGCAGTACCTGTGGCAGACAAATGCTCACATTGCCACATGGAAAGTGACCGAGCGGACAGTCTTCAGAAGGCCTGTGTTCCTGCCCTGCTGTTTAAACAATACACATTTAGAGCACATTTAACAAATCACTTCAGACACTTCAGATGATTATTCAGTGCTTTTCTGCATTAACATTCACATTTCTTCATCCCAAAGTGACAACAAATGACGAATACAACAAAGCGATACATCAAGAGCCAAATAATCACTGGTCAAGCACCAAATAATTAGTGCTACTAATACAAAGCTTTATCACTGTCCAGAAAAATAGACAACAAGTTAAAATAAGGAGGCATTAAGGAAACAAAGTGGAGATTTTTTTTTTTGGTATACATTTAAGCACTAACAGAGGAGATGCGTTTTCACATTATTACTCTTCAGTATTGTTAGGGAATATCATTCTATGTCCAAGCAACAGTAAATGAAAAGGTTTGGAGAGGGATTTCAGGTCCCACTGTGATTGTTTCACAAGGCAACTCTAATGTAGCGACCAGGGGGAGATGTCAACTGGTAATAGAAAGTGGAGGTAGGAGGGTGCAGAGCCTTTGGTTGTTCTGAAAGCAAGAATTAATGTCTTGAACTTAATGCAAGCTGCCAGTAGCCGGTGGAGAGAGAAAGAGTGCTGTGATGCAGGCTCTCTTGGGTTCATTAAAGACCAGTCGTGCTGCAGAATTTTGAATCATTTAATAACCTAATCAGTCTGATTGCAGGTAATGGAGATCTAGCAAAAAGTAGGTCAAATGTTCTGTTGGGAAGATCCAAATCTTTCTTACGTTGTACAGCGCCAACTAGGGCTGCATGAATTTGGAAAAACCTGACATTGCGATATTTTGTATTTCTGCGATATATATTGTGATATGAATATAGTTTTACAATATGGCCTAAGTAACTGTTTGGGAAGAATTCACAATTTTGTGGTGTAAATTAACAAATTACAAATTGTCAGACTACTGTAACTGAGTAGTTTTTCTCAGGGACTGTAATTTACCAAGTAGTTTTAAAAATGTGTACTTTTACTTTCCCTTGAGTACATGTTTAGTACTTTAGTACTAAAGTACTTTTACTCCACTACTTTCCTTCAACCTACAGCCACTACTTTATTTTTTTATTATCTGGTATTGGCTAAAGTAGAACAATCCTGTGATTACAAGTCATGTGATTTCTGTCCATACAAATTCACACAGAAACTAAATTGCACCGTACTGAACTTGTCACGTTATCGTGATCAAAACAGGAACAAAAAGGTGCGAATCCAAGTGCAGGTTTATTTACAATCGTGCAGCAAACAGAAAAAACAAGGTGTCCGGTGTTCAAAAATAACAAAGTAACAAATAAACAGCAAAAACAAGAAACTATGACAGAAACAGGATCAGGAACAAGACTAAGGTAACAACAAACTCGATATACAAGACTTACTAGATACTGATTACAAGATAGACAAACGACGCAGTAACAAACAGAGGTGGAATGGTTGAATATACAGTCCAGGTAATCAACGGAGATTGGAGACAGCTGTGGTTAAAATCAGTGTAGATGAGAGACTGGGTGTGTGCGCGAAAGAATGTATGGAAATGTCTTTTTGGGCGCTGTAGTTCCACTCAGTGTCCATAACTACAGCGCCCTCAGGTGGTCACTGACAGTCCTGACAGAACAAACTCAAGGCACAGGTGCTATATAAATGCAGCTAACCATGTGCATGCATTAAAAATGTCCAAGAAGATGCCCAAAATCATCGCACGCAATAACCCAGAGACTGTTTAAACTGGACGACAGATGTATGGTGACTAAAATGGCCTTAAACAATAACTAAATACACTACAGAACATTATGTTTTCACACACATACATGCACAAATCAATGTAAACGGGTCAGACTTTCACAGTGTAATTCTCACTACCCACGACTCTTGAGTACTTTTAAAAGGGCAACTATTACTCATGCTTTGAGTAATATTTACACTTGATATACTTTATACTTTCACTTGAGTCAGATTTTCAGTACTCTTTCCATCACTGATTGGGATGATTCTTTAGGGGAGTGCATCTGCATAAAATATCCAAAAGTATATTTAAAAAATATAGTTTAAAAATTAAAGCACTGATAAAAATGAAATAAACAGTGGCCTATGTTTTTTGGGTGGAATATTACAATATTGAGGTAAAGAAAATCAATTATTAAATCTAAAATAACACTAGTCTTCATTTTACAATTGAATGATTTCTTGCTCCCAAATGATTTAAATTTGCTTAAAAACTTTACCACTAATAGATTACGGTAGAAATTCACAATGACTCAACAAATTTGATTATTATTGATGATTTTTAGTTAATTATAATCCCAACTCAACAACGCACATCCTGCAATGTGACTACGGATGTGCACATTGCCATATTGATGCTGATATATTGTGCAGCCCTAGCACCAACTTTACGCTGTTTTGCATTGACGGTCAGCTGTCATAAAAAAAACCTGACCATACATATCCAAAGTGGATGGGAACTTTTTTAATGATCCTAGCTAGATGAGATTGTTGAGCAGCCAGGGAAGATGAGGAGATCTCTCTTTACCAGGTTGAGACGGTCTGAAAAAACTATCACTAAATTAACTGCTTAAAACTTTAAAAATAGCTGTCTTTGCAAGCATGCCCCTGAAGGGTTCATGCTGGCTTTTTGCGGGCAAGGAGGGTTGTGACTAGCCCACACCAAATCTAAACAGGCCCAGTGTGGTCTAGCCCAGGTATGGCCCAACACTTTGGACTCACTCTGATTGAGTAGCCTTAACTAGTTACAAATGGATTGAGCTCGAAGCAGCTTTTTTTTTCAGGCCCATGCTCTTTTCCTATTCGACATTAGAAATGCAACTGGCATATGTCAATTTGTTAAGAGAGATCTTCAATTATATACAGCACACCAAACATATTTTCCACAGGGGTTAAAGTAACAATTGGGTAGGTTTTATTTCTATTTGCATTATTTTACATTTGCATAGATTATCTGTAGTCCCTTTCAAAGAGCTAGGACATGTGCAAGTCTAGTGAGGGCTTTCTGGGGGCTAAGTGAGTGCTGCCCATGTAGGACCATCACTAAGGAGCTAACATTTTGCTAACAAGCAAACTCTCAGGTGCCCTGTGCTGTGCTCAAAGACCACTGGGAGCCCTCAGACAATCCCTAAGTGCTTGTTTTGCATATCTTAAACACGCAACAATCTATTTAGCTTCCAATTATATTTACATCTATGTTAAATTGATGTAGATAATGCTTACACCAAACTAAAAATGTGAGAGTATGTGTGTCACACAACCAGCGACCGCTTTCCAGAGATCGCTGGTTGTGTGACAATGTGATTGGCCAAGGACAGAAAAGAAGTAAATAACCTATCTTCAAGTATACAGATATTTGTTTTCCATTACTTTTCCAAAACTTTGTGGGTTTTTCTGTTTTTCCATAACTTTTGGAAAATGCCATGTCAGAATTGCATGACTTTTTCAAGTTTGTCATGAACGTATGAACCCTGTTAGTATATAATAATAATTAATAATAATAATAATAATAATAATAATAATAATAATAATAATACATTTTATTTGTAATGCGATTTTCTTAGATTTAAATTAACAATAGCAGAAACAGCACAACAATAAAAAGATACAACAAAACAATAAAAATATGAACCATAAGATAAAAAAGTTAACAAAATGATCATCCTAAGTTAAAAGCAATGGTAAAAAGCTGAGTCTTAAGACGTTTCCTAATGGTTAAGCATTATACATAACAATGGTATGAGAAATCATATCTGAATGATGTTCCCCTGTAATCTGATGTAAATGTACAAAAGGAAAGGAAAAAAATTGAACCCTGGGAGACCCCCATTATGAGCTGAAGAGGTGTGGATATATACAGTATACTGTAGTGCCTCATCCCTTTAGGCAACACTGAAAGAGATGATTGTAAGTATACGGTTTAAACCATTGGCCAGAAGTGAATCTGATGATTTAAAGGTGCCAGACAAATCCAACAAAATCAAATCAGACATTCTGTAATTAGCTTCTGCATCACACAGGGCTTCAGTGACTGACAGCAATGCAGTCTCTGTTGAATGACTGCTCATTTTTCTGTGTAAGAAATGATGATACTTGGGTGAAAACGACTTGTTTGGGAGTTTTGGTTACAAATGGAAGGAGAAGGACCGCTCAGTAGCTTACTACGAGTGAAGGGTTTGGTGATGGTTTCTTGAGCAGTGGGGTTACTAGAGCTTGCTTCAATGTGTTGGGAAAATTTTTGTGGTGTGTGAATGGGGGTGATGGTTTGCACAATGTAATGTATGAAAGAATGGCTCAAGAGGACAGGTTGTAGGATGAGTAGAGAAGTTTAGATTCTTCCATCTTAGTGAAATGAATTCTATTATAAGTACATTATGCACAATCAAGCCTCTAAAAATGATTTCATATGACAGTTAGGGTTGCACAAAGAACAGCCACAGGCTCAGTACCTTCCAACTTTCAGTCACTGTTGAGTCAACATCACCTCTAGAAGCCTGGGGTTTCTAAGTCAATATTGTTTTGTTGTTTCATCACAGAGAAAACCAAGATCCCTTTCCAGAACATTCTTTATGGTTCCTTGACGATCATCTGGGAGAATTGTTCCAAACCCATGCAGAACACCCGATACAAAATAAAGAGCTGAAAATGTAGTTCTACATATATATATATATATATATATATATATATATATATATATATATATATATATATATATATATATATATATATATATAAACACAAGAACAACTATTGGTCCTCCTTCATGTTAGGTCATGCCCTTATAGACATGTACTTGCAAAATAAATACAATGCACTTAGCATGTTTGTAATGCAGTGAAGAACACTTCTCATGATCTTGATGTGGGATACGGGAGAGGTTAGGGACAGATTTGGTGCTATGGGTATGTTTAAGCATGGGTAAAGGTGTAAGTGATGGTTAACAGTCTAATTTAAAAATTGTAATTGCAGATATTATTTACAGATGTAATTACATGAAGATATTTAATCAATTATATACAATGCTATTCCATATGTGAAAAAACATGAATCACAAGTACAATTATGAAATGATCTAAGTTTTTGTTTAGTAATAGACAATGTAATCTACGAATACACTTCTAAACACTTTCCACACGAACTAGCAACAGACAGTCACAAATAAATTTCCTTTGAGCTTTAGATGACTCTTACTCATCCGCATAGTGGCTCATGCTTCAGAGAACATTAGGCAGGTATATGCAATGCTCAGTATATGAATACACCCCATTAAACTTATATTTTCTATAGGACGCTTTACAATATTATATGTGTGCATAGTTTAGTCAGTACCGAAGCCAAATCTGGAGCTAATCTAACAAAATAGCTTACGATAACGGTCCAAAAATTAATAGTGCAAATGTATATTAGGGAAAAATATTAAATACAAAGAAATCAAAAATAGCAAGAATCAAGTGAAACTAAAAATATTTACAATTTTGTTGAAATGTTGTAGTTTGTATTTTTCTTTTTGCAATATTTTGCATGAATTTAAATGTATTACCTTTCCATTGATGTTCTGTGACTAAGATATTATGTTAATAAATAAATAAATTTGTTTTGTTCAAATGCACCAATATATATTACCCATTTTCAATAAGAAATTTTTAAAATATGAATTTTCAAAATGAGGTGTACTCATTTATGCTAAGCACTGTGCATATGAGAGCTGAAAAATGCAAATATCTCCTATTTTTGTGTTACCCAAAATTCATTTTAAAATGAAGGTTCCTTAAAAAAAAACATTTTGGGTTACCTGTTCAAAACCGTAAAGAGAACATTTCTTAGCAGGTTATATCAGAGTGCTCTTTGGTGCTTTTTTATTGCTTTTTATCCATATCATATATTTTGAAAATCAATTTGAAACAGTTTACCTGTTTTTTAAGAGATCAGCAGGAGCACTTCACAGCAACATTGCCATGAGCAGTGATAAAGAGTACAGTGATTTTGCAAAAAAATCCCAACAAACCCATGGGCTGTGATACTTTACTTCATATAATTTTCTGGTAAAGACTATTCATAAAGAAAGAATTTTATTTATTGCACTTAAATCAGTTTGGTATACACTTCTGTTTGGGATAGATCTGCTCCCCAATACAGTAAAGAGTGCTTAAAATAATAGATGACCGATGTCTATTATTCATCTCAAAATGTAACACATTACGCAATCTTAAAATCCCATCCTGATCTAAATGTTTCCTCGGGTTTCATAAAAGAAATATGTTTTATTGGAGTATAGAATTTACAATTTATTCCTATTTCCTCCCAAAGGTCCTACCTGTTCTTTAACAATAACATTTCTATTAAAGAAATAGAAAAAACAATAAACAAATAAAACACGAATTTGACTTGATTTGAAGAATTAATGTTTTATGTAATGTGTAAGTTTTATATTATGGTTCAAGAGATTAAGAATAGCCAAAATATTATTCGAGATATGAAATATAGCCAGTATTTAATATGTAAAGATATAAAGCAGCATATTTCTTACAAATAACTGAACAGGTTGAACTTTAGTTACTTTATTTATATCACAAATGTTTGTATTTATTGATGCTTAAGTTTAACGTAGGCTAACGTTATGCTAATATGAGATTCAATGGGAGATAGTGTTTAGTGAATAAAGTAAAACGATAAGCTAATAATTGAAAAACCAACCAACAGCTTTTTAAAAATAACCCGACTCTGAAAAATAGAAAGAAATAATTTCTTACCTTTGGCTGTTGTTATTGATGTAGTGAAAAGTATCAAACATAACTCCAGTGCAGACGCGGTCGCAGCAGACTGAAGCGACCTCATTGTGGCGTCGTGCCAGTCATGCCCACACGAGTCAAATAACGTTTATCAAACCACTGGGTTCCTAAAAATCCTGGTGTCAGTCAAGACTTCTTCAGTTAAATGTGCACACTACTGTGGTAATAGTAGGAAGATAAACGAGTGCGCGGTTTAGTGCGAATTTACACGCAAAGCAGAGGTCCACGTGCAGTTCTAAAGCAGCACAAACGTCTGTATCTCCCCATAGAGTCAGTTTAAGGCGATACAGGTGAAAGCCCGACACAAAAGTTTGTCGAGAGGGAGAGAGGAAGAGAGAGAGCGCGCTAACTCTTCTGTGCGTCAGTCTCATCTTGAATGGTTGCTATGTGACCTGTGAACGGTTGCAACCGCTTAGTCTTACGAGTTAGAAAACGTTTCCCTTCCAAATCTATCTATCTATCTATCTATCTATCTATCTATCTATCTATCTATCTATCTATCTATCTATCTATCTATCTATCTATCTATCTATCTATCTATCTATCTATCTATCTATCTATCTATCTATCTATCTATCCATCCATCCATCCATCCATCCATCCATCCATCCATCCGTCAGTTTGTCCATTCACCCATAATTTTATCCATCCATTCAGCCACCATTCTATTCATTTAGTCTCTTTTTGCTCTCTGTCCATCCGTTCACCATTTTATCCATCTTTACATCTCTGCCTGACTATGTTTTTATCCATCTTTCAATGTCTATCTATCCAGCCATCCATCCTTTCAACCATTCTTTTGTCCATTCATCCCTTCATTCATCCGTCCAAAAGTTTAGATCAACAAGGTCTATTCACTTGGAAATTGTGCTAAATGTAGGCTATCTGTACTAAATCATTTGCAAATATATACTCAGACATTTGTAATTTGATGAAATGAATAAGAAATTCAATTCTGTTGTGAAGAATTGCCAAGTGGTTTGGAGGTTTGTCCATGTTGTTTTGAGAATGTAATTTCTGTTTTAAGAAATGAGCCAAACCAATGGAGAAAAACTGTCATCTGCTTGACCATTCATTTTTCTATGTACATCTATTCACCCATCCATCTATCATTCTGTCTGTGCCTCCATTTACCTTTTCAAATGTCCATCCATAACTATATTTAGCTATCAAACCTTCCAGCCATGCATCTACTGTCTGTGCATCCATCCACCTGCTCTAACATCCATTTGTCCATCCATTCATCCATCCATCCATCCATCAATCCATCCACCCATCCATTCATCCATTTATCCATCCATCCATCCATCCATCCATCCATCCATCCATCCATCCATCCATCATTATATCCAGCTATCCATTCTGCCACACAGTAATCTACCTTTCTGTCTGTGCATCTATCCACCTGTTCTAACATCCATTTGTCCACCCATCCATCCATCCATCCATCCATCCATCCATCCATCCATCATTATAGATATCCATCCTGCCACCTATTCATCTGTCTTTGCATCCATCCAGTTGTTCTAACGTCCATTTGTCCATCCATCCATTATCATATCCAGCTTTTCATCCTGCCAATCATTCATCTAAATTTCTGTCTGTGCATCCATCCTCCTGTTTAAATATCCATTTATTCATCCACCCATCCATCAATCATTATATCCAGCTATCCATCCTGCCACCCATTCATCTACCTTTTCTGTCTGTGCATCCATCCACCTTTTCTTATGTCCATCCATCCATCCATCCATTCATCCAACCACACTTTCAACCAAATTTCCATCAGTCGGTGTAATCAGGTTGTCAGACACAGAGCTCATTTGCTTTACGCTCACTACTTTTTGAAGCAAACCGTAGCACAAGGATTTTACAGTAGTTGTGCATGGTCACATCCATATGGGATGGATTTAAATTTCAAATCTTTTTGAGTAATGCACAGCTCAGATAAACTGCTGAGCAGACAAGCCAGGCCAGGATATTTATCTCTGCTATGTTTTATTCATCATAAACAAAATGTAAACTGAATTATTCATTTTAATCAATGCATAGTTGCATAGTTGACATTTATATTTAGCAACGATGCTGATTAGAATGCTGTGTTGTACATTAGCATTCATAAAAAAATGTTCCAATTAAAATTTCCACCAAAAGGCTTTTTTTTTTTTTTTTTTTTTTTACATTTGAAGCCATTTTGATTTTATTGTATGAGTATTGACAGTTTGAATGGAATAAATGGATGTCAATTTGAGGCTGTAAAACCAGTCTGACCATGTAAATAGTGTGTTTAGGAAACTGTTTGGATTCAGTCATTATTACACGTATAAAAATTACACATTTGACCTTACAGTTTCATCAAGTAAATAATCTAATCATCATGCTTTTTTTAAATAATTATTATTTTGGGGGGTTTTCACCTTTAATGGATTGGACAGTAGAGAGTATAGACTGGAAAGCATGAGGAGCAGAGAAAGGGGAAGGATCGGCATACGACCTTGAGGCGGCAATCGAACTCTGGTCACCGTGAGCAATGGAGTGCATGTGTTGATGTAATAATCCCCACACCATTGGCGCTGACATCTACATCATGTTAAAGCGATAGATCATATAAAAATGAAAATTTACTCACAATTTACTCACCTTTAAGTGATTCCAAACCTTTATAACTTTCTTTTTTTGAACACTCATTCATTCATTTTATTTTTGGCCCTTTATTTTATTTAGTCCCTTTATTAATCTGGGGTCACCACTGCAGAATAAACCGCCTCTTTTGAACACTAAAGAAGATATTTGGAAGAAAATCCGTAACCAATGACTTCCATTGTAGGAAAAACATACTATGGCTGTCAATGGTTACAGGTTTCCAGCTTTCTTCATAACATCTTTAGTGTTCAACAAAAGAAAGAGTCAAACGTCAGGTTTGGAACAAGAAAAGAGTGAGTAAATGACAACAAACTTTTCATGTCCCTTTAGCTCCCAAACAGCTAAGAAACAACATTATAAACTTCCAGATACTAGTGTTCCTCTCGCTCGTTCATTTAGGTATTTTCTTCCCATTTCTGGCTCTGTGTGAGAATAAATTAACCTTACCTGTGGTACTTCAGTTTCATAACGGTAGGTTTAATTATGAGGCAGTCGTTTTTTCGGTTATTACTAAAATCAAGACACAGCAAAACTGATTTAAGGCAACGGGATTTGAAGTTTATCTTAAATTTCATCGAATAATTCCACACAAATCTTTTAGAAAACAAAATGTTTAAAAACAACCTACGGTACAAATAACCTTGCACAGGTTGCGATAACCGTGGGATATAAATATTTAAGTTTTCCAACATGCACCTCCCCATCCAAAACAAAACAAACATTTAAAGACATTCATACAGACCAGAAGGCACCTTTCATCCATGTCTGTGCAAGATTCACAATATAGAAAACATATATATATATATAACAAAGAGAGACGCACAATGACACACTTTCACACACCAGACCAGACAAACATCTGCGCACAAACACTATAATTCCTCCTTAGTGCTTTTCTGTAGTCCTTCTGTATGTTTTTCGTTCTTCAGCCACTTGTTAAACACCGCTATAGGGTCTATATTCCAGTGTTTGTGGAAGGAAATCGGGGTCTGGTGGGATAAAAAGTCCCTCGCGTAATCCTCCGGACGAGCCTGAGAGAGAATACAAAAATAAATATCAGGCATAAATATTAGTCATGACCATCAGTGATCTAGGCCAGTGGTTCCCAACCTGGGATCTGCCCCCTCCCTAAGGGGGGGCGCCAGAGTTCACAAGGGGGGAGCGGGAGAGGATAAGTGTTGAGGTAGAAAAAGGCATAAAAATGCTTCAATATTATATATGTATTTTTAAGTACCAAAAACAAAACAAAAAAAATTAAAACACACGCTTAAAATCCCAACATAATAGTATAAACAATTAAAACAAATAACTTTAAATAATTATTTAAATTTAGCTCACTCGCGCAACGTGCTTGTCAACGTGTCGTAAAGGCAAAATCAAACCAAAAATAGCAGAGAAACGTAAATGCAGTGATTCTTCAGAGGCGAAGATAAAGATTAGACAGTATGACAAAGCCTACCTAAATTTTGGTTTTATTGAAGGCCAAGACAAGTTAAAACTGATTCATTTATATTTTCTATACATTTTATATACTAATATTACACAAACACACACATACAGTATATATATATACACATACACATACGGATGTGTGTGCGTGCATGTGTATTTATACGGGGCGGGGGGGGGGGGGGGGGGGGGGGGCTCCAATGTTTGTATATGTTCATGGGGGGGTCCCAAAGAAAAAGTCTGGGAACCAGTGATGTAGGCCTTGCAGATCACTGGAAAACATGAACTAAGTAACTACATATACCATCATTCCCTGCACTAACATACCTGGCACAGAGCTTCTATATACTATGCGATTTGATACTACAGATACTATATCAAAGTCGGTAATCCGGGGTTGTTATAGACTGTACCAAAAAGTTGAGATCCATGATAGGGGGGTAGTTGGAATTATGGGAGTTTTCCGGGAGAAACAACAAAACGGGAGGGTGGCAAGAGATTGGTCTGAAATACAGGAGACTCCCTTGAAAAACAGTGTGTTGGCAGGTATGGATCCTCCTTAATTGCAGATACACACCTGAAGCTTGTGAGGACTAATTACCCAGACTATTAAGCATTACGGGGCAATTCCTTGTTTTGCCGTGTTTTATCACAATCACCAGCAATCTCAAGTATTGACATAAATAACAGCAGTGCAGTGTAACCAAACTTTTATGTTTTACAAGTGCAACTGCTTTTATGAGAGAAATATGGGTTCAATCTATCTTGGTTTCAAAGTAATGTGCCAAATAATAGGAAGTTAGTAACTCTAGTAGTCTCATATGGTCGGACTAATATTATCATGATCACCAGCAATCTAGGCCTTGCTGATCACTGGAAAACAAGCACTATCAACTGGACTACAATTCTGCCACTGAAATGAACTACAAATCCCATCATTTTTTGCACTCACACACCTGGCCCAGATCCCCCTTGATTGCAGTCCTCACAAGCTTCATCTGTGTGCTGGGCCAGGTGTGTGAGTGTGGATTTTGTATGATGGGACATTCTCCTGCCTATTAGTGGTAAACTCTTCCTCATTAGCATAGACAGCCCTGAGTGAGTTTTCACACCATACCTGCAGAAGATAATGTCAGTTTCATGATGAACACCAGTCTTCATAGACTCCCTTGTTCAGAGCCATTTCTTTTGACATTTGCAGTTTTCACAGAGAATACATTAGTCCCGTTTCGAAACTGATGCTTAGGTGTTTGTAGCCACACCCTCTTTTTAAAAAGAGGACAATCTCATTTGAATTTAAAGTGACAGTCACCGAAATGGCAGAATTTGGATGAAAGCCTAAAAGTGGCCGTTTCAAAGAGTTATACAAAAAGGAAATGCGCGCGGTATTTTGAGCTGAAACGACACATACACACTCTTGGAACATCAGAAACTTCTGTTACATCTTGTAAAAAAAGGGCATAATAGATATTTAGGTATTTTTAAAATGATAATATGAATAATGATATTTAATTGTATATTTTTATATATGCTTATTTTCAAATAACAAACTGCAAATTATGCATAATGTAAAATATCAATTTTACAAATGGGTGGTGGGGTGTTTTGTGTTTTGATATTGGGCTAGTTTTGATCAACCGTTTAGCTAGTTTTGTTGTGAAAACCTGCCAACTCTCTTGAGACCGCTTTTAGGATCAATTGTTTAGTAATTGCTTCTTCCAGGTCAGTGAAGAAGATGAATTTGGAAATGACAGAGCAGGCATTATTACAAGCAATTACTTCTTGTCTGGAAATTACTCATAATGAACATGAACAAGTTTCTTTCAAAGACCGGCACTTTTAATTAGAGGGCATACAGAAGGTTGTGTTATCGGGATTAGAACATTTGTTTTTGTTTAAAGTCAGTGCTTACAAACAGGTGGAGTTTACAAGATCGAAAAGACATGTAATGCAAGACCATTGAAAAAAAATGACTCAGGTATTGGGACACCTTGTGTGCTGGCTACACATTTTGTCCCTTTTGATTATTGGCCAAAAAAAAAGAGCCAGGAATACACTATGTGCTGACAATCTTCACATACTGAAGGGTTTTTTGTGTGTCTGCTGGACAGTACATGCTTTGTACCTCTGTATACTTTTGTGGCAAAATGATAAAACCACCTTAAGTTCCACAGGTGGGACAGTTTTATATACATTTTAATAAAAAAAATAAGCTTATACTGCTCATCAAAGCTGTATTTATTTAATCAAAAATATAGTACAAATTGTCAAATTGTGAAATGTTTTTGCACTATAAAACAACTGTACAAAAGTACTTTATAATATAAAATAATAATTATTCCAGTGATTTAAAGATGAATTTTAAGCTTTATTACCCCACTCTAATATTAATTATTATTATTATTACTAGTATTATTTTTCTTTTTATGGTAATAGTAATAAAAGCAATAATGACTAGGGTAATCATTTCATTTGAAACTACATACAATAAAAAAGCATTGGATTTGTGTGGGTTTCCTTGTGGTGCTTCGGGTTAATCTAAAGACATGTGCCATAGTTGAACTGGGTAAGCTAAATTGTCCGTAGTGTATGTGTGTGAATGAGTGTGTATGGGTGATGAGTTGCAGCTGGAAGGGCATCCGCTGCCTAAAACATATGCTGGACAAGTTGGTGGTTCATTCCGCTGTGGCAACCCCTGATTAATAAATGGAATAAGTCAAAAAGAAAATGAATAAATGAATGAATAATAGATAGGCAACACTATGTTAACAGGTAAAGCATTCAATTATAGTAAACTAACAATTTACAGGTATACCATTAAATCACACTGCTGTGGAAAATGTTGTAAACATTCTGATGCTTTGGGAAAATCTGAAATAAAATTCATTATAAATGATAAATTATTATTATTCATATTTATGTTAGCTGTAATTACAGCAAGGCGACCTTGCATGTGTACAAAAATATTTATTTGTGAAAACAATTTACATTTGGTTACATTACTACAGAAAATGCTGCAACACTCCTAAGAATTTAGGTAAACATAAAATAAAAACTAATAAAAATTAATAAACTAATAAAAACAATGAATTCATTGTTTTATTTTTCAATGGTAATTTGATAGTTAGGCAAGAAGTATTATACTTGTACACGATTGTACACATATTTTAAAAATATTCTGAGAGCTTAATAAAAAAATTGACTGATTATTATTCAAATAAAATTCCTTTATGTATTTATTTGATAGTTTGTTTGCAATACATTTACTGTTTATTAGTTATACTGCATGTGTGTGTGTGTGTGTGTGTGTGTGTGTGTGTGTGTGTGTGTGTGTGTGTGTGTTTTTGTTTACCTGGTGGAAGAGTGGACTGTGTGTGACAGGGACTCTGAGAGAATTGAGACACATGCCCAACACCATATCATCAGGAGCATCATTACTGTAGCAGTTACAGCCGCTGGACAACAGCTGGACCACAGCCTCTCGACTGAATAACATCCTGCAAACAAACACACACTCACAAAAATTAAATTAACCACTGCTGGCCAATCAAAAACATTGGTCAGCTGGAGCACCGGCAGTTTTCCCAAGTGGCCACTAGACAATATGTGCAAGTCCTTTTGCTTATTTTAATATACTGTATAAATATAAAACAAAAACCATATACAGTTGAAGTCAGAATTATTATCACCCCTTTGAATTTTTTTTCTTTTTTTTTTTTACATGTTTCCCAAATTATGTTTAAAAGAGCAAGGAATTTTTCACAGTATGTCTGATAATATTTTGTCCTTTTGGAGAAAGTATTATTTGATTTATTTCGGCTAGAATAAAAGCAGTTATTATTTTTTAAACACCATTTTAAAAACTACTACAGGGTTTGTAAAACGTAAATGAACCACACACACACACACCCAATTATGGTAAACTCATCTGTTGTTTCCAAAATACACTGGCTAATTGCACAGCATGTGGTCTGTGTATCTTTAGGGGGTGAAATTAGAAAGCTTAGGTTTTAAATTGTGGTTTGCACACACTGTTGTCACCAAAGTGAAATGTAATGTTCCTCTGTCATCAGTCGTTGCAGCTTTTACCTGTTTGCATTCATATTGTACCATTAGTCATAATATGTGATGTAACAGGAACAGCAAAATTTAGGGGATGGAAGCCAGTGATTTAGAAGCTTTTTGACTCAAAGGCTCCTATTTTGACTCTCAAATTGTGAGTGCTGTTATAATAAATTAAATATTAATATAATATAAGAATCCAGAATATATTCCTGCATGCTTTTTAAGTGGAGATACTAGTTAGTAAAACTGCTGCTTCTTTTTTTGGGGGGATATCATCAGTATACAGATGTTTTACTTAAATGTAATTACAACTGGTAAATAGATTTCCCCCTAAAGCACATTACAGCTTTAACCTAAACTACTGTCTTTTTTTTTGTCAAGAGATTCAAAAATATATATATATATATTATTTTAATGTTAGTAAAAAAAAAAAAATGGTACAGTACTAGCACTCGCTCACAGTTGAAGGCAAAATTATTAGCCCTCATGTCAAATTTGAATGATTGTAAAAGTATTTTCCAAGTGTTCTTTAACGGAGAGAAGATTCTTTTCAACAAATTTTAAGTGGAATTTTAATAACTTTAAACTTCCAAACATTTCTTTTTGCCATAATGAGCATACATACAATACTTTACTTAAGTAAACTTTTTATACAAAATTGTATTTAATTTTTTTACAAGATACTACTATTCAATATAAACACTTAACTAGGTTAATTAGGTTTACTAATTGGACAATAGTAGTGTGTTTACTATCAAATCGAAAAAAATAAAAATAAAAATACATAAATCATGAGGGGGATAATAAAATTTACCCTAAAAAAGCAGTAGGTAGCATGATCGCCAGTTGGCATTTCTGTGTGTAGTTTGCATGTTCTTCTCATGCTTGCGTGAGTTTTCAGAGAGGTGCTCTGGTTTCCCCCACAACTCCAAAGACAGCATTACAGGTGAATGGATAAGTGAAATTGTCAGTAGTGTATGTATACGTGTATGGATGTTTTCCAGTGATGGGGTGCAGCTGGTTGCATCCGCTGTGAAAAACATATGCTGGATAAGTTGGTGGTTCATTCCGCTGCGGCAACCCCAGAATAATAAAGGGACTAAGCCAAAAAGTCTTAAAACCCATTTAAGGACAAAATTATTAGCCCCTTTAAGCTATATTTTTTTCGATAGTCTACAGAACAAACCATCATTAAACAATAACTTGCCTAATTACCCTAACCTGCCTAGTTAACCTAATTAACCTAGGTAAGCCTTTAAATGTCCCTTTAAGCTGTATAGAAGTGTGTTGAAGAATATCTAGTAAAATATTATTTACTGCCATCATGGCAAAGATAAAATGAATCAGTTATTAGAAATGAGTTATTTAAACTATTATCTTTAGAAATGTGTTGAAAAAATATTCTCTCCGTTAAACAGAAAATGGGAGAAAAAAAATAAACAGGGGGAGCTGATAATTTAGGGAGGCTAATAATTCTGGCTTCCACTGTTTTATATATATACTTTATATATAACATTGATCTTTTTCATTATGGTATTCAACAAACCAATCCAATAGTTATTATAACATACTGTACCATTATTTTGGATATAGATTACAAAAATAACTAGGATAAAAAGTAAAGAAAAAAACAAGTACAGCAAACCTTAAAGAGAATGAAAAAACATTCCAACTATTCCAGGTAGACATGCAACTATCTTTAGAAGAAAAAACATTATAGGAAATACTTTGAAAAATGTCTTCCTCTGTTTAACATCACCTTGGAGATATTTGAAAAAGAATCAAAATTTCACAGGAGGGCTCATCATTTTTCCTTCGATTTTAAATATCGTATGTACAGACAAAAAATGAAAGATAAATATTTATAAAGAAATAAATAGTCATTTTAATATATCTGTCTGTGAAAAATAATATTTACACAGACACATCTGGAATTTCTGTGACTAAAAGGTTTGTGGAACACCATTTTCATGTACAAACTGACCTGTATAATAATTTGAGTTTATTTGAGCGGGTATAAAACATAATTACAATTTAATTTGCAGTCAAGGAGCTCACAACATGACTTTAAAGGTTTCATTGTTATTATTAAGCGTTTTCAAGTATCCATTCAATATCCAATTTAAAATGGAAATATGTCACAATACTGAAGTACAGTCGGTAGAAACCTCCAGTTCTCACAGACTTTAAATACAATTTCATATAAATGTCCAAGAAGCAGTATGCTAATGAATCCTTCACTCACCCTCCACCACCAGTGATGTAACTGTATCCTCCCTGACCCAGTCCATAACCATACCGCTCTCCCAGACACAGCGGCTCACTGGACTCATAGCAGCTCAGCAAGGCCTGCAGTCTGGGCAAGCTGTGAGAAACACGCACATTATGCCTCCCACCAATGCTTAAATTGGTCTAAACACCACCAATTTTACGTATGTGGCTTGCACGCACACAAGCCTTACCTTATTAGAGTATCATCATCCACAATCAACAGCCAGTCAGTTCTGGGCACGTGACTGCTCAAAAACCGCCTCAAGATGGCAAATGTTTTTCCACAGTGACCTGAAAGAGGATACAAGTCAACTCAAATTGATATAATTTACTCACTCTTACCTCCTTCCAAACCAATAGGACTTTTGATCATCAAATCTGAGATATTTCTGTCACTCTACTCAAAATCGTGAAACGTTCACAAAGAGATCCAGTAATGAAATAAACTCGTCACAAATACTGTAAGTTTGTTACAGTACTCAAGTATTGTTTTTCAACTAAATTGTGATACTTTTACTTGGATTTTTTTTCTTCAGAAATAAAGTATTCACTGTCACTATATTTTTATTTTTTATTTGGTTTTGTTTTGGGTTGGGGTTTTGAGTTTGGGTTTAGTTTGGTTTCACTTCACTTGATAAAGAAGTATGAAAAATGGAATTAAATGTTTGAACTTTGAAAAAACAACATGTGAATATGATTAATATTTACGGTGCGATTGGTTCTCTTCGAAATAAACTGGACAAAGAGTGATGATCGTACACCCACAGTCCTGCTGCTTTTATTTTAGTTATTCTTAGAAGAGAATATTAGTAGGCCTAACATTAACCGTGTGCACAGCATGTTTCACCTGCTTTCTTTTGCTTACAGTTATTTTTGTTAATATGGTTTAATTATATATTCATAATAGCATTGCTTTAATGGGAGATTACTCCCCGTTTATGTGTATTTAACTGGTGATCTGGGACTTTTAGCCAGGACAGATTATTGTGCATATATTAGATACATGAAAATAATAATTTTTTAAATGTAATGTTTTTTTAAAGACAAGTTTTTTTTTTTTTTTTATTAAAAATTGCACATATACAGCTGTATTTTCCTTGTTTTGACACATTAAAAAATTGTGGCTAAGAGCTACTTATTTGGTGTGGTCAAAGATAAATTTGGTAAATCCTTAATTTTGAGCCCTGAAAAGTCCCAGAAAATGTGAAATAAAAAACTGATTGCATTGTGACACAACCCATTTGCCCATGCACACTGAGCAAGCTAATACACAATACACACAAGATGTTAAATGAATGAGAAGCCATGTGGACATAACACAACATCTAAATCCAGTTATTTTAGCATGTCAAAGTCAAATTTATGCATATAAAATATATTTTCAGAACAAGAAAAGTGTGGCTAGTGAAAAAGGCGAGTGTTGGAAATCTACTAGCCACAGTGGCTGGTGATCAAAAAAGTTAATTTATCATTTGTTAACCATTACCTCTACATTAATAGACATTAATAAGCAGTTTATACATACAAACAAATGCAGTATTCTTGAACTACAGTATATAAGCTTAATGATTGTATTTTCATACTTTCATCTTTATTTTTCATCACTAAATTAAGCATTGCATAATATATAAGAGACCTACTAAACATAACTAGTCACAAAACTGCATAAAGTTGAGTTAATAAAGCATTTATTAACATACAATGTAAATGTTATTTTATGCCTGAATAATAAGATATGCTGAATAAAAGGTTCATTTTATTAGTTTATCAATCATTGACTGATTGTGTTAATAAATAACTGTTTGTTAAATAATGCAATACTTAATTTAGTATTAAAAAAAAATCATCATTGACAAAGTATGAAAATTACAATCATTAAGCACATCATTCACAAGTCAAAAAATAGTGCATTTGTAGCTTTATCAACTGCTTACTAACATCTATTAATGTAGAGTTAATGCTGAAAAGATGAATGAACTATTTGTTGATGCTTAACATATGATTCAAAAACTACTATAAAAATGTTAACAAATACTTTTCAAATAATCATCCTATTCAAAATGAGGTCTTTCATAGTCAGTTAAATCATGTTTATTCCATTTTATTTTTGGTTCATATACACATTTTGAAGAGTTTTGGGTGGACAGACATTCAGTAGAGGAATAGAAATATCTCTGATTGAATTCAAAATATCTTCATTTACGTATGATCTGTGATTTCTTAAGCACACGCAGGTAAACAAACCCTTAACTAGCCCTTACATTTGCATTGAACACTACAATAAAATGTCAACAAACACCTTTCAAATACTTCCATCTCGTCTTAACTCATTCCGACTTTCATTTCTTCCAAAATGAAGTCTATCACATTCAGCTAAACCATGCTTATTCATTTTTGTCTGTATACACATTTAGAAGAGTTTTGAGTGGACATACATTCATTAAGGAATAGAAATTTCTTTTATTTAAATAAAAATACCTTCATTTCTGTCATTTCTTAAGCACAGAAGGATAAATGAGCCCTTGACTTACCGTTACATTTGCATGGAAAACTTCAATAAATATGTCAACAAATACCTTTGAAATATTTTCATCTAGTCCAAACTCATCCAGACTTTCGTCTCTTCCAAAATAAAGTATTACCATTCAGCTAAATCCTGTTTATTTTTTGTCCATATACACATTTTAAAGAGTTTTAGGTGGACAGACATTCAGTTGGGGAATATAAATATCTCTGATTTCATTCAAAATACCTTCATTTATATAAGGTCTGGGATTTCAGACATTCAGTGGACAGACATTCAGTCTGGAAAATATCTCTGATTTAATTCAAAATACCTTCATTTACATATGATCAGTGACTTCCTAAGGACACACAGGTAAACAAACCCTTAACTAACCCTTACATTTACATTGAAAACTACAATAAAAATGTTAACAAACACCTTTTTAATAATCATCTTGTCCAAAAGTCTTTCATAGTCAGCTAAATCATGTTTATTTCACCTTTATTTTGTCTTTGTACACATTTTGAAGAGTTTTGGGTGAACAGACATTCAACCAAGGAATAGAAATATCCAGCCTGATCTCACGAGAAGACGTAAGTATTTTACGTTTTGCCAGTTTAGTGGCTAATTCGTACGAATTCGTACGAGTTCAGTCGTACGAAATGGTACGATTTTAAAAAGGAGGCGTGGCACCTGACCCCACCTCTAACCCCAACCGTCATTGGGGGATAAGCAAATCGTACTAAATTGTACAAATTAGATCGTACGAATTCATACGAATTAGCCACTAAATGAAAAAGTTACGAATTGCCGTGAGATTGTGTTGAAATATCGCTAGTTTAATTCAAAATACCTTCATTTACATATGATCTGTGACTTCTTATGCATACGCAGGTAATCAAACCCTTAACAAACCCTTACATTTGCATGGAAAACTACAATTAAATTTGTCAACAAATGATCTTGTCCAAAAAGAGGTCTCTCACATTCAGCTTGATGTTTATTTTTTCAATGTTTGTTGTTGTTGTCCGTTTGCACATTTTGAAAAGTTTTGGATGGACAGACATTCAGTCGAGGAAAAGAAATATTTCTGGTTTAATTCAAATGCTGTAATTTACATATGTTCTGAAGACACAAGAGTACACAAACCGTTTAACTAACCCTTCCATTTGCACTGAAAACTACAATAAAATGTCAATAAACACCTTTTAAAACAGGTCTTTCATATTCAACTAAATATTGTTTATTTTCCCTTTTTTTCTTCAATAACTAAAAGAAGAGTTGAATGACTCACTTTGTAGAGAGCTTTACGATTTAGCTCTACTCCTCAACAATGTCTTCTGGCTGTCTGAAGAAACTCTGAATTAATGCACTCTGTCCGTTCACAGAAGGAATAGCAAATAGAAAGGGAACGCTTTGTCTCCATCATGTACCCTTCAGATAAGTACCACAGATGTGATGTAATATCAGAGGGAAATGTTTTTTTAGCAAAACAGTCTGATAGTGATTTTGAATTAGGAACGTCCACCGTCTAGAGAAAATAAAGGATAAGGGAAGACCCTGAAGGAACTGTACACCGAGTAGAACGAAGGAACCGCACTGGTGAACAATAACGCAAGAAAATACAAAGGCAGAACAAGATGTGCTTCTGTCAGGCTTCACAGGGAGAACAGGAGCTTCTCCACAGCACATATCAGAGGTCTGTCGGATCGCCTGTGGCCAGCAGTCAAATGTTTCCTCAACATGGAGACGACAGGTGTAGAGCGCTGACAGGGTGTGTTTAAAACTGCAGGACAAAGATGCAGACAGGAACATGCAAACCAGGGCAGCACAAAGTTCACAACTGGCTCTCTAGATCAGTGGTTCTCAAAGTGGGGGTCGGGACCCCCCGAGGGGTCGCGGGGCAATGAAGGGGGGTCGCCTGGTGATTTCCAAAAATCTATTTATTTTTATTAAACCATAAGAATTAACATATTTTATCCATAACCATACTGAAAATAAAAATAGTCGTTTATAGTTAATATATACTATATAGTAGCTTACAGTTACTAGTTCTATTGGATTGCGACCCCAGGGGTAATTACATTATATTAAAGGCAGCAATAGCGTCAGATGCGTTTTGATTTTATAACATCAGGTTATACTTTCTGGCACATTTAAAGCACTGACACAAATTTAATTGGTGTGTCTGTGTCATTGCTTGCAAGGTTTCTGTATTTATAACCACCTAAGAGGATATTGGGGGTCGCGAGTCACTGGCATTGTTATTTTGGGGGTCGCGGGCTGAAAAGTTTGGGAACCCCTGCTCTAGATCATGAGGGTGAACTGCAAATGAACTGTTCTTGCAGACAGTCTCACGGTTAATTTGCAAAATGAATAATTGATTTCAAATGTAAACAGGAAAGTTAATTAAAAAATCTTCTTTTATTTAATAAAACATAATTAAATTAAAAAATATTTATATAATCATATAAAACATTAAAGTGAAAAATTATATTAAAATCTGAAAAATTATAACTTTTAAATTATTTTTTATATTCTAAAAATAACAAACAAACATTTAAGTAAAAATGTTTAAGAACAAATAAAAGAAAACAAAGAAAAAAAACTACTTAAAGAACTAAAATATATTATCATTTAGGACGAATATAATTTAATATCTAACATCTTTATCTATCTATCTATCTATCTATCTATCTATCTATCTATCTATCTATCTATCTATCTATCTATCTATCTATCTATCTATCTATCTATCTATCTATCTATCTGTCTATCTGTCTGTCTGTCTGTCTGTCTGTCTATCTGTCTGTCTGTCTGTCTGTCTGTCTGTCTGTCTGTCTGTCTGTCTGTCTGTCTAGTGTTTAAAAACACATACTTTAGAGCTAGTATTTGATGATTCTCTAGCGTAATGTCTAAAGTTATGACAAAACAGGTTATTTTGCTCACATTTTAAGATTATTAGGCTGAACGGCATAAAATGCTATCAGTTAAGAGCAGAGGTTATTAAAGTGGGGGTCAGGACACCTCAGGGGGGTCGCAGGATAATGAGGGGGTGGGGGGGGCAATATGTTAGATTAAACATAATGTCCCTGGGGTCATTATGTTAGATTAAAAACACAGCAATAAGGTCAGATGCAGCAGAATGATTTCATGGCACCAGCTTGAATCTAAAAACCTTATGGCATTCACATAGATTAAAAATAAATACAGGCCATGGCTGAAGATGGAGGATGATCTCCTGAGTGGTGTTCTCCAAAATGAAATGAGGCCTAACTTGGGCTTATTTTTTGTTTGTGCACCATTGCGTGAAAAGTTTGTATATTTATAACCACCTCAGAGGATATTGGGAGTCACGAATCCCTGGCACTGTTATCTTATAGGTCACAGGCTGAAAAGTTTGGGATGCCCTGGTTTAGAGAGACTTCCCAGTATTTCAGTTGCAATTGGGAGATCACAATAATTAACACCTAAAAAGCCAAAGCAAACCAAACACTAGCAGATTAATATGGTATAAACACAGCACTACAAAATACAAAAGAGATCGATTTTGTCCAACAGCTGCATTCTCTGTCAAACTGTAGTGAGTTTATTGATCAGCTGTCAATCTATGAGGTTAAGTTAAAGTAAAGTAATGACTCTTAACATCAAACACAGTGATAAATAGTCTCATTCTTATGACTTGCTTTTGATATCCGCTTTGAATAAAAGAGCAAATGAATTGAATATGTTGAAGTGGCTCCTTAGTCAGAGACATCATGTCAAATTAATGGCTTTATGAATAAACAAGTAGGACGAACAGGAGAACAGAATGTGCAGAGAGATTTTCTTAACATCAAACAGAAGGGAGCAGGTGATCAAGCGAAAGATTGACCCATCTGACGTACTTATAAAGTTTGACTTTTAATTGAGAGACAGAAAAAGCCTAAATGCGCGAGTGCTGGAGGGTTATACTGAAGTGCACTCAGAAATAAATGGCAAGAAATGAAAAAGTATCCAGCACTGAAAATGAATGTGCCTGTTCCACTTCGTCGCTTTATTTCTGATCAGAACATGAAGTCCAATGAGGGCCACGATGAACACATTTGCATAAGGCATCAGTGACAGAATGCCATGAAAGTTCAGCTAATCAGCTCTTCACATGGCAGAATTAGGAAAAAAGATAGTAAAGTTGTCTCAAGAACACACAGTGTTAACTTGCTTCATCCTGTGAAATGCTTTCATCATTTTATTCTAATCATCAGAAAATGCAAGACTCCAATGATATCAGAATTCAAAAAAGAAACTAGTTGTTATGTTTCCATCCACCTATTTAATGCACATTTTTTGGGAACATTGGAAAAATGCTTAATCAAAATGGCAAGATGTGCATAATTTTTTAAAATGTGCATAAAAACTGAGTAGGATAAACTTTTTTATCCCAACTCAGGCTCATTCTGAAAACATACATTCTAAAATATACATTGCTGTAAAGCACTGAATACGTCCGTGGAGCTACTTTTTTTGCAGTTTTTGTTTTCGTGAATCAACCAGTGACAGTTGTGTATGCTTTTTAAGATCATGCCATTCATGCATGTTGTTCTAAATGCACCAGAGGCTGCTGTTAACTGACTGTTTGACTGACTGACTGTCTGATCGATCAGCTGACACACCTCCTCCTTTCCCAAACCCAACCAATAGTGTTTTCAAAAGCCCAGATTGACCCAATTTTATAACAAAAATTAGTGCAGTAAGATGGCGCATCAAACACATTGCGCAACATCTGAAATGTTGTTTTGGTCATTCTAAAATCCCTCCATCACCAAAATCCTTCAGTGTTCTTGCTTCCCCAGAAATGTTTTGAGCAAAAAATGGTCTAACGCCAAACACAAGTTTATTTAATTTCATCTCTGTGTTCTAAGACTCCAGCAATTTATAAGACAAAAGGCAAACAGTGACTTCTCCTACTGAACAAAATCAAATTTATCAGAAAGTGATGAATTTGTTCTCTTTGACTCATCAGATGCACATTTTTTATTTAATGTGATATTCCAGTTTTGTGCACAAGTTGAATTCACATCTTTTGAATGATTTTATTTTACAATTTTGCACCCAATCCTACCATAACACCAAATGCAGTGAGGCTTGTAACTTATTATTATTATTTTTCTAACAATGTCTGAGTAAACAATATGGTTTAATCACAAACATTGCTGTAACTATATGTAATCAGATGCGCAACAGTGTTATTTATTGATTTGAGCAGCTCCTGATAACAGTTTTCTCAGTCTCATGGAGTGACTTAGTTTGCAGATAAATGATCTATGTGAACTCCATCTCTGCACCTGCAGTAAACTTGAGTAGCTTATAACTTGAACATGCACCATTCAACCAATCCTCTATTTTGTAATGAGAATAACTAATAAACGAATAAATCATAAACAAAAAAAGAAACATTTTATATACAATAACAGCAAAGAATACTGTTATGTTTAAAATAACAGTAAAGTAATAAAAATATCAACTATAGTTATACATATTCAATTAGACTTTGTTGTGCCATTTTCTATTAAAAAAAGGTACTTTTCAATGGATTTTGGTTTGGCCATGGGTATAACAGTGCCTATGATTTAAACACAGCCTGTTTCTGTACAGTAAAAGCATCACGTATTAAATATGTTTAAAAACTCACCTCTCTCTGTGTTTGGCACTCCCAGATTAATGGTTGGTATGGAGGGATCAGCGTAATCGCTGTAATACTCCAGCAGAGAGGCTTGTTTACCCCATGTTTTCTTCACCACGGGAACTGTTGAGAGTGAACAGAAAAATCAATCAATTCTTCACCACACTAGAGATAACTCCCACAATCCTCAGATCATAACATTTAATATAGAAGTTTCTGGATGCCTTTTTTTAATATTGGAAGAGGCTGCAGATAAACAGAGTAAAACTTCCCCAGCTGACTGATTATATATAAGTATTTTTCAGCATTTAAAAAAAAATAATTGTCTAAATATAAATACTCCACTATTTAAGTAAATGTGTGCTATTCTAAACGCATTTTTGCAAAGAAATCTGAATATTGTATGAAGTCAGATTCAAATTGAGTTAAAAAATATTTACGAGAAGATTTTGGGAATCTTTTAATATCACTGAATTATTTAAGAAAATATTGCAAAATATCAGAAAAAAAATATTTTTGCATAATAAAATGTAGAATAATCAGGACTATATTACAGTGTTGGAGTGGCCAATCCTGTTCCTGGAGAGCCACCTTCCTGCAGATTTCAGTTGCTACCCATATCAAACACACCTGAACCAATTAATTAGGACCTGAACATCACGTGATAATTATAGGCAGGTGTGTTTGATATGGGTTGAAACTGAAATCTGCAGGAAGGTGGCTCTCCAGGAACAGGGTTGGCCACCCCTGTTATAGTGTATGATGATCATGATGAAAAGTCTTTTTTTTTTGTCACATACACTGTTACATGCAGTGAAATTGGATCCCTCCAACCATACACAAACATCACACATTTCAGGGGAAGACAGGTCAGATGAGAGGTAGCATAGAAACAGTAAATAATAATAATAATAATAATAAAAAAAAATAATAATAATAATAATTCCTTACATTTCTATTGCACTTTTTTCGGCACTCAAAGCACTTTACACACATAGGGGGAATCTACTCATCCAGCAGCAGCATGCAGCATCTACCAGGATCACGCGACGACAACCATTTTTACACCGCACACCACACACCAGTTGATTTAGAAGAACAGAGTGATGAATCTAGTTATGCTATGGGGAGGGTTATGAGGCCATGATGGACAGAAGACAGTGGGCAAATTTGGCCCGGATGCTGGGGTGAACCCCTATGCTTTTTCGAAGGACATCCTAGGATTTTTAACGACCAGAGAGAGTCAGGACCTCGGTTTAATGTCTCAACTGAAAGACGGCGCTCACTGAGCAGTATAGAGTTCCCGTACCTATACTGGGGCATTAGGACCCACACAGACCACAGGTTGGGCACCCCCTGCTGGCCTCACTAATACCACTTCTTGCAGCAACCTAGCTTTCCCGTGTGGTCTCCCATCCAGGTACTGACCGGGCGCAGCCCTGCTTAGCTTCAGTGGGCGACCATGTGAGAGTTGCAGAGAGCTAGCTGCCGGCTTATAAGACACATTAGGGAAAAGGGAGGCGGAAAAAGCCCCCCAGACTGTCCTTAAAGTAGGGCATGTGTATGAGCATATCTCTCTTTATAAATTGTTTGTATACGTAAGTGCTGTGAGTGGAGATTTATCGCTTGGTTCAAAAGGAAAAAAAACACTTTTTGAGAAAATTCCTTTAAAAATATGTTTTGAAAATTAAAATCTACAAACACAAATTGATAGTTTGACAATGAAAATTTGCTCAGAGTGGTGTGAATAATGAATATAACCAATAACAAATACGACTGGTCAAAAAAAGTATTTTTTCAGTTTTATATTTTTGAACATGAAACTTCCCAGATGGACCAGAGTAAAGCTCATTGTCAAAGTGTCCAATGATACCTAATTTTAGTTTGACGTTTACTGGGGTCAAGAAGTGTTATTATTTAAGTAGGTGTAAATCCCCAAAAGTGAGTGCTGGCTAACAGGTTAAACCAGGCAATTTGAATGTTATCACTTGATTGAATGGGCGTTATAAGTGGTTATCAGCTTACAGATATGGGCCAGTAGGGGCCTTCTACAACTACTAGTAGGCTTAGAAGGCAGTTATCATCCATTTAAATTGATTATCAGCTATAGATCACATACGGCTGCGACCAGAAGCTAACCAAAATTATTTATATAATTTATTACATTTCCCATTAATTGTATTTTATTAACATCTACCCCAAGCCTAAACCCAACCGTCACAGTAATGTAAAAACAGATCTGGATCTTTAGTCTTCTCAGTTAGTATAGCTGATTAACCAACATAATTATTTATATAATTTATTACATTTCCCATTAATTGTATTTTATTAACGTCTACCCCTACCCCAAGCCTAAACCCAACCGTCACAGTAATGTAAAAACAGATCTGGATCTGGAGTCTTCTTTGTTAGTATAGCTGATTAACCAACATAATTATTTATATAATTTATTAATTTTCCCATTAATTGTATTTTATTAACGTCTACCCCTACCCCAACCCCAAACCCAACCGTCACAGTAATGTTAAAACAGATCTGGATCTGGAGTCTTCTTTGTTAGTATAGCTGATTAACCACGAGAATTATTTATATAATTTATTAAATTTCCTATTTATTGTATTTTATTAAAGTCTACCCTTACCCCAACCCTAAACCCAACCATCACAGTAATGTAAAAACAGATTTTGATCTAGAGTCTTCTCTATTAGTATAGCTGATTAACCATGTTGATGGATGATAACAGCCTTCTGAGCCTACCACTTCTATCAGCTGTCAACCACTGACAGCGCCCATTCAATCAAGTGATAACATTCAAAACAGGTGATTAAAGGATTAAATGTGTATTTTGAGTGTTTTCCAAATGTTTGTTTGAAAAAAAAATTAATCAATGAAAAGTCAAAATCTCAAAACTCACATGTGGATAAAAAAGTGTTGCTGCCTGCAGAGTCTCTCAAAATGTAATTTTACTCCACGGAAACAAACACAAAATCTAAACAATTCACTACAATGCCATTAAATGTCAACTATCAGCATTGGCAAGTAAGAGAGACAACTAACGATTGTAACTAGCTCTTCTGACAATAACAATGCCTCCATTCATACCAGGACTTGTGGATGTGTCCCTTTTATCCCAAAACAATTGAAGGGGAAATATCATGTTCTTCCTAATACCGTCTCCTCAAAGTGACTTGCGAGAGATAATTATGATAATCGGTGCAATTAGATGCAATCGACGTGTCAGTTAGTTCGGCATTTTTCCCTCCCAGATGGTTTTGCTGAATTCAAACGGCAACACTTTATCTGTCTCATTAAGTTTGAATTGATGCCTGGTGCTTAGTGACTGCTCAGAGTTGCCATGAGGGGCTCTAATAGCGAAGAGAGGACTGGAGGGATGCCCATCAGGGCGTTCAGCCAAACATCTCTCAATACTGAGTCACTTCAGAGGTCAAATAGTGACGCTCGCTGAACTGTTAAAGGGAACAAGACGTCAGACTTCATCAAGGGAGACTTGAGCAGGTTTAACAAACGGTTAAACAAACAGCATACATTAAAGAAAAACAGCTAACGTTTTATTTTAAGAAAATGGTTATTAGGGTAGTAGTTAGATTTAGGTATTATATGTAAAAGATCATGCAGAATATGTGCTCTATAAGTTCTAACAAACAGCTAATATCTTAAATATAGGCGGGTAATAAGCCACCAGTTAATGGTGAGAATTGATACTCAAATTAAAGTGTTTCTAAATATCATTATTGTTTCTACAATATACTAATCTGAAACAGTTTTCAAGATAAGGAAAAATATTAGAATTATAGGAATTATGTGGATTATGTGACAGTGAAGATTGGACTGTGATGCTGAAAATTAAAAAATATATCACTTTCTAAACGATTAACAGAACAGTTATTATAAATAACCAGCTATTATAAATTAACACAATTCCATAGTCTTACACAGTGCTGCCAGATTGCGGTTTCCCGCCCAATTGGGCAGTTTTGAATAATTTTTTTTTGTGTAAAAAATGACAGTGTAAAATTATGCGGTTTTGTAACGGCGTGCCCGCCTGCCCCGGTCTTCACTTTTAAACCTGTTATGATGCCCCATAGAGGTGCCATAGCCCCAGTTCTCCACATACAACTGCTTACAACAGTTGTAATCTCCCAACGAGACACAAGACAACACTAAACTAAACCATACCTTATCTAATAATAAGCAATAAATTAAGAGTTTATTGAGGGAAAAGTCATAGTCAATGGTTTGTTTGTTTATAGCTAGAAGAACTGTACCTTACTTATTATTATTATTATTAATAATAATAATAACAACATGAAGTGTAGCTTAAGTTAAAGTGTTACAAAAAATAATGATTTTAACAATAAAAGAACAAACTATTAAATTAATTTAAAAACTTTGGGGACAAATTCACACTATTAACTAGCCAACTATAACTTTGACCGTAAATATACATCTTCTTTTCTGCTTATCATTAATTATTAGTTAGAAATGTGCTGAAAAAATTGTGAGGTAGATTTAAAGAATATGAAATATAGTCATATAGAACAAGCCATTGACTAATAAGACAACAATATTCTAGTAATATTCTAATAGTTAATAGTGAGAACTGGTTCCCAAACTTGAGTGTGAACTTTAAACTTTTAGTGTTGAGTGTCACCAAAGTGTTCCCACAGCTTCTTTTCCTTTTTTGAAGCGAGGGTGGGCAGGAGTTGACTCTTCACAGTGTCTGACAAGTGACATTTCTAAGTGCTCATGTGAAGAACCGAGGGACACTTGTGAGGGCGTATGTGTTATAAGCACTGATTATTGAGAGCACAGCACTCACCTCTGTCAGAATGGAATTTCTTGCAAGTTTTCACTGCTACGAAGATGTTTTCGATCTTCACAGGCTCACCCTGGAGACACACAAGAGCAGACAAGGCTCTGACAGACTGCATGATGCTCAGTGATATGATGAAAGCGCTCACTCCCTTTACATAATGTCAAGTGCTGTGAAAAGTATTTTAGACATCTCTGAAGACACTTAAATTAGTGTACATATTAAGGCTATCAAGAATTAAATCCAAAGTACTACTACAATTTAAAAAATTATGTTCAGGTTATGTAGAAAAATAATAATTCACGTTTACAAAAAAAATTATATTTTCCATATAAAACATCTTTTCTTCATTTGCCAAAAAATGTGTAAACTAGGCATGTTTAACTACATATTGTCATGATCACTAGCAATCTAACATTCATAGATAGCTGGAGAATATTCACATTCATGCGGACTACAATCATGTTTCCATATGGACTACAAATCTAGTCATGCACCGCTGACCTGCACCTGTTCCTCATTCTGTTGATTTCACACATTCACGGCTGGGAGCTCCTCATGTACTGATTGCACTACACATCTATACGACTCACTTTGACACTCTCATTGCTGAGTCTTGTTTTCTTTTATCTTTTACATAACGTCGCGTTTCGTTTGCCTCACCTTGCCCTGTTTTGACCCTCGCTTTATTTGATTATTCCTGTCTGCTGCTTGTCTTTGATCATCGCCTGTTTATGACCACGACTCTGGATTTGCCTGTATACACTTGTTTGCCCCTGTTCCCCTGAACATTCTACTAATCTCTGTTGTCAGCGTCCTACTTCACATTCCATGGTTAGGGGGCCATGATGGCCAGTGGGCAAATTTGGCCAGGATGCCGGAGTTAAAGGAACCACACAGCCCGCAGGTTGAGCGCCCTCTGCTGTTTTCTTCTCAGGGAGGCAGGGCACACCCTTATAGATAGGGAGAGGAACTCTGTCACCCGGGAGGAGCTCGGAGTAGAGCCACTGCTCCTCCACATCAAGAGAAGTCAGCTGAGGTGGCTCAGGCATCTGTTTCAGATGCCTCCTCAATGTCTACCTAGGGAGGTGTTCCAGGCATGTTACACCAGGAGGAGGCCTCGGGGAAGACCCGGGACACATTGGAGGGACTATGTCTCTCAGCTGACCTGGGAACGCCTCGGAATCCCCCTGGAGGAGCTGGAGGAAGTGTCTGGGGAGAAGGAAGTCTGGGGTTCTCTCCTAAGACTGCTGTTCTCGCAACCAAGCCCCGGAAAAGCAGATGGAAATGAATGATTTAATAAACCATTAATTAAATTAACTTTAACTAAACTGAAATGTACAACAAAATCAATAAAAACGTTTTATTGAAATAATTTTATTGAAATAAAAACTAATTAAAAGATGTAAGCTGAGAAAATATCATATAATATTTCTTCTATACTAATAAAGGACAACTGAGACATTCGTGGCAGAGTTCCTTGCAGCTACAATACAACATCTCAGCCAATTGTCTTACAGAAACCAAGTGTTTTTTACCATACACACTTCATCTGCTCGTGATCTTCTTTCATATAACTTTGTCATGTTTGATGTTATTTGACAGTTTATGACTTCAGAGTAGTAGTGATGAAATCAACAGAGACATTGATGTATTTCAATATACAATCTATTTACTATTTTTGAGTCATGGCCTGGGGAGAGTATGTTAATCTACCTCTCCTGCCAATTTATCTTCTCAACTTTGCTTTGATGTTTGGCTGGTTTTGGGGCTTTGGTATTTCATGTTTGACAATGCTATGCTCAGGGTATAAGGAGGAAAGGTAGCTGTTGATCGAGGAGAATGGCTTTTACTCTGTGTCTCCCGCAAATCGTTGTGTCACCTCATATGCTAACAAAGGCAGTTTTATTGACACTCTACTATCTGTATATATAAACATGTAACTTAAAACAGGCAAAGTCTTTTTATTAAGGTGTTGAGTATCTTTGTCTTTATCAGTGTTTTAAATCAATGTTTTATCAACTTTACTAAAGTCAGATTAATCACAATGTAGTCAGATAAACACGCCATCCTTCAACTGCTTTCTCTTTTCGATTATTGGTTCAGAGTAGCAACGCAAGTAAAAAACAAAAGTAAAACTATACAGTAATGAACATAGTTTGGCCAGATTTAAGATGATTAATGTATTATATTATCTAACATTTCTCCATTATTTGTGGCGATACATGGAAAAAGTATATAAACACATTATAATGGGTAAATTTTTCCTTACAATCCATCATAAATATAATTTCTTTCCTTAAATAAATATTTATTTAGTATTTTTAACAAGACATTATTAGTAGGCTCAATAAGCAAAACTGCACCTCTATTAGAGTCACAAACTAGAAAGTAATGAAGGTCATTTATCCTCAGGAAACATTAGCTCCTCCAAAACGAACTTGTGCTTTTCACTCTTTCCACAAAAACAGCAATCGGGCTTCTTTTTGTGTCGTGCCAGTGTGTGTTTTTGTGCATTTCTGGTTGAGGTTGTGGTTCTGGATCTGAGGAGTGCATGTAAAGTCCTGATAAGCGTAACTGTGAGATAAGAGAGTTCAGCGCTGCTTCAGGGAGACACTGCTTTGATCTGAGCCGCTGTGAATATTAACCAGCAGGAGACTCTGCATGTTGCTGTCAGACTCCACCAAACACGGGGGCACCAGAGGAGAGCCTGCTACTGACTGAAATGCCCTGATAAAACCTCCGCACTTCACAATAATCTGCAGTTAACACAGCTGTTGATATTGTGCTGAAAATAAGAAACATTTAGCTTTCCATAATACGTTTTATGAACACTAAGGCTTAGAAAATTTGTAAAAAAAAAAAAAAAAAAAATGCCTATTTTTGCATATATAGACAGTAGTGTGTAAAAGTTTATACCACCATTACATCATTTTTTTATGTGATGGTATATTGATCATTAGTGTGTCTAAAGTTGTATACTTGTCTATTATATATACTCTGTGGAAAACAAAATATGAGTCGAGTAGTATGTCCAAATTTAAAACATTCAAAAAAACAGTAGTGGCGAAGAACCCAGATGACTTCTGGCAACATTCATAAGTATATTCCAATGGGCACTTTGCTATCCCATGTAAGCTAAAGTTGATAAAACTAGGTAGGTCATGTCAAAATGATAAATGATGGAGGTTGTACATTTGATTTCCATTCACATTTGAATTCCATACTACACACATTTATACTACAGACAATTTCAATGTGGCCATGTTATTGGCCCATGAACATTTCCTGCTTGTTATCAAACTATCTCAAAAATGTAGTTCTTTTTGGATTTTCGGAAGCTATAGATATAAAAAATGTAAAACAGGAAATACGCTGGGACTATTGATTTTGTTTACATCCCTCAAGATGATAATTCATATTCAAATGTAGTATCTACTCGAGTAGTATGCAATTTCACACACAGCCCATATATAAATGTATTTCTCATTTTGAAATACAACCAGGAAGTTTAGAGTTAGAATTTATTTGGTCTAATTTTTGGGGACAAATTGAAGAAAAATGAAAGAATGCCTGCTCGGTCTTGATTTGAGCTGCATTTCTGCCAGTGCTGTTGCCAATATTTTCTTAATTGGCAGGATTGTGAATGCTGAAATGTGCAGACAGGTTTTAAACCATTATAGTGTTCATTCTGAAAAGCAGTAATTGGTACTGGTTTTGTTTCTAGCATGTTAATGGTCCCAAAAAACACTGCTAATGCTGTGAAATTATATTTAGAGAGAAAAACAGCTGATAAAACACTGACAGCCATGGAATGTCCTCCACAGAGTCCAGACCTGAATTTTATAAAAGCAATATGAGATTGCCTGGAAAGAAAAAGAAAGATTTGACAGCCTAACTCTGGGAAGTGCTGAAAGGAGTTACAAATAGCATTTTATAAATAAATAGTGCTGAGCAAAGATGAATGGAATCCAAAATAATGGGTTTATTTTGACATAATATATCTGTGTTATGTATATGTATATGTGATACACACACACACAGAAATAGAAACAAAACTATACAAACAATTGTGTCTATAAATAGTATATATATATATATATATATATATATATATATATATATATATATATATATATATATATATTGAAATGTATATATTATTTGTATCATAAATTTTCCTTTGGCTTAGTCCCTGATTTATCAGGAGTTGTCACAGCCGAATGAATATACATATATAATTTATAGCTAAATATTAGAGATGCACCGATATGGAATTTTTGGCCGATACCGATAATTCTTCAGACTTGGAGGCCGATAGCCGATATGTATAGGCCGATTATTATAAATATTTTAAATTGTTATATTTTTATACAGCAAACTTTATAAAAGATTGAACTGCTCTTATGAACTGAATAGTCTATACTCAAAATTGCAAGGTGATTATACACCTTGTTGTACCACACGGAAAGTAATAAATATTTTGGACCAAGTTACACGTGTCCTCTTTCATTTACCAGCTGCAACTAAAAGAGTTCACCCCAAAACGGCCCTGCAGTAGTAAGTGAATCTCCCCTGCTATCTCTAACACAACAAAGAGACAGAGCAGGAAAGGTTTCCACATGTAATATTTTTCCTGAGGCGATATAAAGCAAAATACACAATGACACTCAATCAAACACATCTACAATGACAAGTAACGTGGTTACTTACTGAGTTATTAATGAACAGCAAGCCACGCGAAGAAAGGACGGACTTTGAGGGAATAATCAGTGTGAGAAGAGATTCATTATAGTGCACTGGACAAGTCTGAACAAGTTCCGCCCACGCGTACGCGAGGCAGGCAGGTCTGTACAATTACGTAATTTATCGGCTTAAATTTATCTGCCTAATTATGACATCGGATCGATAACGATAATCTTAAAAATAGCATTTATCGGCCGATAACGATATGGGCGCCGATATATCGTGCATCCCTACTAAATATAAATAAACATTTTCTTAAATATATGCATGCATGTGTGTATTTAAATATACATAATACATATACACAACACACACATATATTATGTTAAAGTTAACTTTTATTTTGGATGTAATTAATCACAAAAAAGAATACAAACAATTCAAGTAGTGCTTGGCGTCAAAGGAGGTCACACTAAACACCGACAATTATAGGACTAAATATACAGTTTATATAGTCCTGTTCTAAGTTGATGGTGGGCTACTATTTTTGCATAGAACTTTAAATGCAGAGAAAAATGCATTACACATGCAAAAAAAACTCAATAAAGAAAAAGTACAGCAATCTGAATGATAAGTGGTTCAATTAATTCATATTACTAGAGGTAATAAAGTTTTACAAATAAGTCTGCTTATGAATTATGTAGTATAATGCTTGCAAAAAGAAACCACAAAGTGGCACTTAAAATCAATGAGACTGTAATGGCTCATAATGAAAACAATGGACAAACGCTTTAAAGCCCTTGATGGTGATGTGTGCAAACTTCACATATTGATAGTCATTTGTGTAAAGTTTGAATCATAACAATTATGCAGTGAGCGCATCGCTCATCTTCAGGCTGAAATAGGAATGGATTAGGATAAATGGATTTTTCATTTGACTCCGAGTCAAAACCAGACATTCTGAGCCTAAATATAGCAGAATAATGAACCATTTGTCAAAATATCTACTTCATCATAGTCTGTACGGATGTGCTTGATCGGTTTTGCAAAGGTCATGTGCTCACACAAGGCTATACGCACTGTTGCTTAAAGATAAGATTATAAACCAAATGATCTCATTACTGTTATTTCAAGCTGGTAATATCTTCAATCTGCTATTATCTTATGATGTTCCCACACTTGTGGTCACACTTTTTCCTTTCTATCTCTGTTCTTAATGGCTGTTATTTATGTTTGTAAAATGTAAAAATGTTACATATATCATTTTAAAAAAATCATTGCTTCCTAAATGCAAACTCTGACTTTTTTGGCCAGATAGTGATTTTAACATTTTAATCCTTAACCCTGTGAATTACAAACAACTGAAAACATTTTCGAGCCACTGAATACTATTGTTGACAAAGGCTAAAAACTTCTATGACAAAAATCCTCTTCTTATTATAAAAGTAATATCATGATATTCCTTCATTCATAGCCAAAGCCTGACTGATTCTCAATTTCAGTTTCCCTTTTATCCAAAGCCTACATCCAGCACAAACCACATTTCATCAGACCTAGCAGAGCCTTGAGCAGTAACCCGGGATTGCAATTTGTCTGCTGTGGGCTCATTAGGAGTGTGTGCAGGAGTATTAAGCGTTACCTACACACAGTGGTGAATGGCTGCTGACAGTGGTGGCACAGGACTGAGCTCTTTTATTGTGCTCTGCAAGCGTGCAAAGTTCAGGGACGCCTGTCAGTCGAGGTCCTTTGCCATCCTCCCAGATATACAGTGCCACCTGTTAGAGACAAAAGAATTCAACTCAATTTTTTTTAATTGCAACAGAACGCTTGTTTTGAGTAAACAAATACAATAATGAAGCAATAGTTTACACAAAAAATGTTATTATATAAAACCTATTAATATCATTCCAGAACATTTATGACTTTACACAAAAGAAGATATTTTGAAGAAAAACTGTAAGGTCCAATGAAACTGCAAACTAATCAACCATCTAATGATGACAAAAAATATAAATATTTTGAAGAGGACAATCCACTAATATGTTCTCTTAATATGACAACTGAGAGCACACGATAAGATGCATTATCTCATTTTCACTGGTTGGCAAGCATCCTCTATTAATAAACTTCAGTTAGTGCAAAATGCAGCTGCCAGAGTTCTTACCAGGTCTAGAAAATATGACCGAATCACCCTAATTTCATCCACCTTACGCTGTATGTTCTGAATTGATTAGAAAATATTTCTTCTTACAAATAAAGCTTTAAATAATCTAGCTCCTGTTTATCTTCTGTCTCATTACAATCCAACTCGCTCTCTACGGGCTTCTGGTAGTACTTAGAATAGCAAAATCTACTAAAGGAGGTCAAGCCTTTTCTTTTATGGCTACTGAACTTTAGAATAGCCTTCCTGGTAATATCCTAGGCTCAGACAAACTCTCCCAGTTTAAAAGCATACACTTAATGCATTACATAACAGAAAGATGCATAAGTGTGCTCCATGCAGGTAAGTGGGCTTGACAAACCACCTGTAGGACACACTCCTCCGGTCTTAATTCACCAGACATTTTGTTAGAAACACTTGTATGCTTTACAAGTTTGTTTCTATGTTTGTTTATATAACAGCTGCATTTCCATTTATAGCATTTCTTTATTGCATTGTTATTTAAAGGGGTGGTCCACTACGATCTCATATTTTAAACTATAGTTGATGTGTAATGTAGCTGTGTGAAAATAAACAGCATCTCTGAATGTAAAAAGTTCTAAGTTCAATGCTAAGGGAGACCTTGGTTTTTACAGAGTTAGCTTAGCAAAGCCTACAATGAACGAATTTTGGGGACTACAAAAAAATACTTCCGCCCCCTGTGACATCACAAGTTCGTTTACTGCGCATCCCACACTGCGCATGCAGGTAAGGTCCGTGGCCAGAGGTGCTGTAACGTTATAGCAGAGATGAAGCTAAAAATGCATCTAAACACGGCTGTTTCCACAGAGCTTCATCTGTTTCTGTATTTGGGCTTCCAAAGGACACGACACAAAGACAGAAGTGCCTTTAGTTCAATATTAATTAACTTCCAGAGAATTATAAAATACTCAGCAAGCATGATTTGACAAAACAGCTCCTGAATCTCTCCAAGTTCAGTGCTGGATTCGGCTAAAATCTCCTCAAAGCAGAAGTTGTGATCTACAAGTAAGTGTTTTTATTTTTTAAAATTGATCATGACATGTACAGTGTCTAGCGTTAACTGTATGCTGTAGCAATGATGTAAACAATGCGAAATGCTGCTTTGCGGGCAAACGATTTAGCTACAAACTCACATTTATCAGCCAAACTCCTGTAAACACACACTCACTCCACCAGCACGATCTCTTATGTGTGTGCGCGACTGCACTGATTGTCTTGGCTTTTTCATGTGTTTCACATCTCAGATAATGAAGTCGCAAAAGATATGTGGATGATTTATATTACTTACACCTGCATATTCCGGATACTCGTGAAAGACGTCATGACGCATAGAGTTAAAAAAAACACAGATTAGCTTACCTGACTAGTGGTCGCAGCAGAATAATAAATCAAGGCTCAACAGGTAGCATCTCACATCTTGTGCTTTATTCTTCTGTCACGATATATTACAGAAAATAACTTAATCCGAGCATCAGAGAAAAAGAAAGTCCCGCGCTCTTGCGCTTGTTACAGAAAGTTCACACCACACAAACACACACATAGACGCACACACAGACGCTGTTAAAGGAGCCGCACCCCTTTTTCACTCGTTAGTTACAGACACTTGTCAGATGTTATTTTAGAGAGCGGGCGCGAGGTTGACTTCATGTTTACACAGTAGAAAAGCGTGTGCTTTTACGGGCGTGACGTGGAGCCGATCCGCCAATAGCAGCACATTATGTCGATGACCAATCAGAGTCACTTAAGGGCGGGCCTTTTAGAGGAACTAGGAAATATGACAGTCGTTTTCATGTTAGCTGAGTAGCTGTGTATAATCAAAGTGAGATATATGAAAAAATTACGCGATTTCCGTCAAGTGAAACATAAGCACACATTGCTTTGCATCTTATAAACACAACCAAGCCTTAAAATTACATTCTGGACCACCCCTTTAATATCTCTTGTTTAAACACACTATGAACAGCAGCTACATTAATTGTTTTCTGCATTCTTTATATTTCCAACTGGGGACACTCATCTTGAGGCTTCTAGAGATTGTGCAGCACCATTGATGTGATCCAAGACCTGTGAGAAGATGATGACAACCATCGAAGACCTCAAGGACAACACAAATAAAGAGATGATCCCAACCATGGAGAACTTTTAGAGGTGTCCATAATCCTGGACCAGGCCGTATCCTGAGCAGGAGTTGCGGTGGTCATGGAGGAGTGGAGAGCGTGACACTGATTCCTGAACGACCACAGTTACAGACGAGTCTCTGCATTGATCGCGTGGGCCAACCGGAACACCCGCCGGTGACCTTCTCACACCTGGAGCTTCTTCACAATGGTCGTCCAGCATTCTCCAGCCTCCGGCGCCTAGACCGCAGCTCTGCACAAGACGTTTGGCCATGGGAGAAATGGTTGTGGCTAACTGAGGCTGGTTTCTCTCGAGGTTTTTTCCTTTCACTTTTGTAAATTCTGAAGTTTGTTCATCGCCACAGTCACCACTGGCTTACTTGGTTTGGGACTTGTGGAGCTTCCCATCAAAGGATTTGCTCTTCAGTGTTTGGACTTTCAGCAGTGTAAATTAAACAACACTGAACTGAACTTCAACTTTGAAAATTGGGCTGACGCAGATTTAAGTTACTAGAATTTCAATGTTAAGCTGCTTTGACACAATCTACCATGCAAAATATAGCTATAGAAATAAAGATGAATTGAATTAAATTAATTTCACACAAAAAATGTATAACTGTGCTCATAAACACTAAAATATGAAAACAACTTTTACTGTACCTTCTATAACAATGAACAAAAAGTGAAATTCTACCTCAATACTGTCTTGTTTTCCAATACAAATGTCTATATCTTAAAATGTAAATTAAATGTCTTTGTTTTAGACTTTCCTAATTTTGTTCAGTTTCTCAGAAAGGAAGACTTTATTTCATCAGCTTGTTTATTGATAATTGTATTGGAAACAAAAAAACTAAGAAATTGTAAAGGTTGGTTATAATGTTCCACAAAACCTGTACTTTTTTAATGTTAAGATGTTTGAAAAAAATTTCAAACAAAAATAGCACGGGTTCTTTATTGAAACTGAAACTTCTTAAATAGTATCTTGTTCAGTTTTCAACAAAGGTTTCATTTTTAAAGGAAGCTCAAATTAAAGACGATCACAAATGTAGTTTCTATAAATAAAGATATCTCTCCCACACATGGAAGTGAGATTCTCAAGATGCATTCGGTAGTAGATTATCAAGACTGCCGTTCTCATCTCTGAAGGGAAGAAGCTGAAGAGGAACAAACAGGGCACACTGAATGGGATTTTTTTCGGAGACTAATGATACTGGATGGGAATTATTCCTTATTTTTTTGCAAGAGACATACGAGTAAGGCAGTAAGGGAGACTGATGGAGATGGAAATGGGGATCAAGAGGGTGGAGATACAAAATGTTCCTGTGAAATGAGATGGTAGATTCCAGTACTGCTGGAGCTGCTCCAGTTAGAGCATAAAATGGGCTAAAGATTACAGAACAGACAGTTTTTTTTATTTTATTTTTTGAGACACTGCATGTATTGCGCTCCAATGAAGACTGGAGCAACAATGATATTCAATTATGAAAAAAAAAAGAATGTTAAAAATATGAAACAAGATTTTAGATTGACTTTAATGTAATTTTGTACTGAAATAACATTTTTATGCTAATGTATTACTTTTTATATAATAATACTGTTTTTTTCAGATAAATGCAGCATTGACTAGAATAATAGACTTTTAAAAACCTAAAAAATATTAAACTTTAGTACTGTAAAATAGAAGTCTTTATTTTCATGCAAGGGCAAACCACTTTTTGCATTGCATTTTTAATGAACACTTTAATGCATATAAACAGTAACACATAGTCTGCTAGTTTTTACCTCATGTTTTAGATCTATAGTGAAGTCCGACTTTAAAGGCTCTTCTTCAATTTTGCTTGCCAACCTAAAATGTGAAATAACTCAAATTAGTGAACAACTACAAGTAATAATTGTACCTTATAAATTGTATCCATATGCATCTTAGTAATACCACTGATACACTGAAATTCCATGCAAATTCCACAATGAATATACAAAAAATGTATACAGTTATTGAGTCAATGATTAGCCTGTAGCCCCCTGTGATTTTTTTCTTACATATATTTCTCAAGTGCTGTTAAATGATGAAAGTTTATGATGAAAAGTTCATAAAATTTGACTAGCTATTTTTTATTAAAGTAGTATTCGACCTAAAGTGCCATTTAAAGGCTTAACTAGGTTAATTAGGTTAACTTTGCAGGTTAGGTTAATTAGGCAAGTCACTGTACAACAGTGGTTTGTTCTGTAGTCAATGGAAGAAAAAAAAAAAAAAACCTCTAATAAGGTGGGCTAATAATGTTGACCTTAAAAATTGTTGTACCTTGTAAAACTTTTTGGGCCAAACTAAACAAAATAATACTTACAGAAAAAGAAAAAGTATTTTCTACCAATAGAAAACGTGTGTATATATATATATATATATATATATATATGTATATTTTTTTTTTTTTTTTTTTTTTTATTTATTTATTTATTATAGAAAAAAATAAAAAATTTAAAAAATCCTTGCTCTATTAAACAACTCTTGAGAAATGATTCAAAACAAATACAAATTTCACAGGAGGCCTTATGGTTTTATATACGGTTGAATAAAGTAAATAATACTATAGCATTAGCATCTAATATCCTTTTAAATGCAAAGCTTTCAAAACAAATTAGTAAAGCAACACAAGTAATCAAATTCAACACTTTTAATTAATATTGCTAAAAATCCTACAGGAGCAAATGAACCCTTTATCTGTTTTGTGACCGCTAATCAGTTTGGCTGAAAATGTCCTTTCTGACCTGTTGATGAGAGGGATGCTGAGAGCCCATCCTGCAGAGAAGTCTGGGTACTCGAAAGCGGTGGGGTTCTCTGAGAAGGCATAATGATGGATGATGGTGGACTCTTCATCATGTAGTGGTTTGCCAAGAAACCACTCCTGAGAACAAAATGTGGAAATCAATCACACTGTGATGGTCATCTCAGGCTAAATCACTTCACAACAGCTGTCACTGTGTGGTGGTCTCAGACTGCACATTTTATTGCACTCCCCGACCTGATTTTCATTCAGTTTGCACTGAAAGGACAATTGAAGTCGTTTCCTCAGTCAGCATGACAATAATATCTAGTAAAACATTGATCTGTTGACAAACTAAATGCTTTTTTACTTTATTACTTAAAACTTTCAGAATGCTACAATGACCATAATGCATGTCTAACACCACAATTCTTTTCAAGAGTTCACACTTAGCTGATGATTGATCATAACTCGTGTTTGGCATGCTGTCCCGGGAGAGAGCCCTGAGCTCAGAATATCTTCAAGCATCCTGTTTGAAGGGCGAGAGGGAAGTTTGAGCTCAGGTAGTTCTCGAGAACTCCCCTGCTTGTGAACATGTTAGCTAAGATATATAGCTGACCAAGAGTTTGTTTTATGATGCCACTATGGATTAGTCAATCCCAGGGAACCCAGGGAAAACCTTTGCGAGCACGGGGAGAACATGTAAACTAGGTCTTGAACCAGAGGCATTCTTGCTGTGAGGCAACAGTGCTAACCACTGGGCTTTTGTGCCACCCTATCAGAAGAAGTGGGAGGAGTTGAGGTGGAAGAGGGGACTCATTAAGACGAACATGACTGAAGTGAATAACTCAGGTTAGTTATAGTGAGTTAGTATTCATGTGATCGGCGCAATATTTGAAGCAATGCTGAAGTCAATCATAAGCACGTGATCCTATTGATATTAGTTTATAAATAAACCGCACTTTGTGAATTATGAAAGTGGTGTTTGCTAAAGTGTAAACAATCCATGCTTATAACTGGCCTTAGTAGTGTAGTGTTTTGCAAAGTGTGTGTTTTCATTGTTGTGTTGTTATCACAATGTGAAACCGTAAAGCACTGTGCTCATCATGTGTTGTTTTTAAACCTGCTCTAAAAATAAATTGTTGCTGTTGTTTGGCAGACAATGAATAATCAAACAAATAATTTCTGCTGCAATATGTGACCCTGGACCAAAAAATCTGTCTTATGTTGCATGAGAATATTTGTATCAATAGCCAAAAAATATATAGTACTTCTATTAGTATTTTATAGTCAAAATGACATGTTTTTATTTTACATCAAAAATCATCATCAATCTAGAAGTAAAGGACAAAGCTAAATTTACCTTTCAATTAGTTCTACAGTATATAAATTATTTGAACTACTTTCTTATTATTAAAACATATTTATTTCAGATCTTTTGAATGGAAGTCCACCAAACCAGATGTGCAACCCATAATATGAAACAAAGTAACTTATGTGGAAAAATGTGGATAACCTGTAACACAGCTCTTTAGGAGAAAAGTTAATAAAATGGTTTATTCTATTAATCGTTAAAAGATTGCGATCTCGATTCGACCCCCTAGACCAGGGGTGTCAAACTCAATTCCTGGAGGGCCGAAGCCCTGCACAGTTTAGTTCCAACCCTGCTCCAACACACTTACCTGTAGGTTTCAAACAAGCCTGAAGGACTCCATTAGTTTGATCAGGTGTGTTTAATTAGGGTTGGAACTAAACTGTGCAGAGCTGCGGCCCTTTTGGAACTGAGTTTGACACCTGTGCCCTAGACGATCTTAATCCAGCATTTCTACGATTCTGCCAATCATATTTTCAAGTTCAGGAGAGAAGAAAAGGCGGCTGCACGAGTCTTTGTTTCACACGTTGCTCAGTGACATTGACACCTCCAAATGATGTTGAATGAGTCACATACTGTATTTATAAGGTATAATTCACCTTAAAATGACATTTTTGTCTTCATATAATGATGTTTTCGCGGCCGGGAAATCACACGTGACGTGAGCTGTTATCAGAGAGAGGGCGAGGGTCTATTAATAACTTCAGTGAACTACTTCAGTGAACAGAACCTGCATATGTTGCGAGTAACAAGTAATACAGTTGTAAATAATATTGAGTTTGTGGCACAGAGTGATCGTTTGGGAGCAACGCGCGAAGTTTGAACAAGCACTTAGCAATCAAAATGAAACCGAAAGTGTGCACTTCATTCAAATGATCATATCGCATTTTAGTGTTATGATTACAAGCATTTGATGTTTTTTTCTTTCATAGCGAACCCACAGTTGTACGTGAAAATAAATGTTTACAATGTTAGTATAACTACTCTAGCCTATATATTGTTGAATATAATCTCATAATGGCAAATGTCTGTTTTACCAGTGAATAAATTTGTCTAATATAACAGATTGCAAGCATATATCTCAAACATAATAATTCAACATCAGAATTATTGTAATTAGAATATAATTATTTACAGTAGACCTACACATAATATTAACATCGATGTTGTGCCATATGTTTGTTTTTACCATACCTTTATTTTACATCTACAGAATCGTAAGAAAATCATGATCTTTATTTTAAGCAAAAAAATCGCGATTCTCATTTTAGCCAGAATCATGCAGCTCTAGTTTATTCCAATAAAGATTCTCAGAATTGCTATGGAATGCGTCAAATAAGTGAGTCACCATGATATGGTTAACATTAAGGTGCTTTTTTTTAGAAAAGGCTAAGCTAAATTAATGAATCTTTTGAATCACTTGTTTCAAGAGTTCACACTTAGCTGATGATTGATAATAAAGCTAGTTTGGCATGCTGTCCCGGGAGAGAACCTTGAGATCATGAGATCCTCGAGCCCGGGGCTCCCTCCTGTTTGCAGGGCGAGAGGGGAGTTTGAGCTCAGGTAGATCTCGAGAATTTGGTTATTTGGTTATTTATACTGTGTGAGGAATCGTCTGATTGGTGGTTCGTACATTAGCTTGACTTGGGGCCAGCCGTGACAATCATAAGCATGTGATCTTCTCGAAATTAGTTTATAAATAAACTTCACTCAGTACATTTAACTTAACAGGCAGCTGGATTTTCAGCATTAGGTCGACAGGACAAGCAAGTTAAAAAGGTCTGAGGGAATCTGAATATGTGTGTATGTGTGAGAGTAACACCTATTCTGTTAAATTCCGTCTGTGAGAATGTCTGCAAAGTGACTGTAGGAAACCAAGAAAATAACACATTTTCAACAATCTCTTAGTTACTTGTGTCAGATGAATAAAGATTCAGTGAGCAAATATTTCCTTTTTTTACTTTCATGTCTATACTGTACATATTAAAAAACATGTTTGAAATAACTGGGTCTGTGCTGCATGGGCCTGAAGTTTATTTACAGATATCAATATCTATATGCATTATAAGAAAAACAGCATGTATAAATCGTATGAATACCACTAACAGACACATTTATTAATGTGCAATTTTCTATCATTTCTGTTGAAGTACCTTAACATGAATAAAGTGGTGTTTTTAAACATCAATCAGTGGATATGCTAGAAATCTTTTCACTTTTCCATGACAAGATCAATGTCAAAGGGCAAATCAATTTCATAGAACAGCTTTCAGCATAATACAGCTTATACCCTTGAGCCTGACATTCAAAATAATTCACGCTGATATCATTTGAGGAAAAAAAATACAAATGAAAAGCTTTTAGAGCACATTCATTATACATCTCTGAGGTGCATGATTTAAAATCCATTAAAGACAGGCCTGTTCAAATTTATACAGGTATTTCCACATGAAACAGACTGGTCAGTTGGGATTTTGTGGTATTGTTAGAAGATACAGCATTTCAATGATTAGAAATGTTACTTTATGCTTAGATACATGAGGAGCAGGAACATATATCAAGTCTTCATTTGAATAACATTTAAAGAGTTCACACATAATTATTTATTTATTTATTTATTCATTTTCTTGTCGGCTTAGTCCCTTTATTAATCGGGGTCGCCACAGCGGAATGAACCGCCAACTTATCCAGCAAGTTTTTATACCCTTTCAGCCGCAAACCATCGCTGGGAAACATCCACACACAAATTCACACACACACTCATACACTACGGTCAATTTAGCCTACCCAATTCACCTGTACCGCATGTCTTTGGACTGTGGGGGAGACCGGAGCACCCGGAGGAAACCCACGCGAACGCATGGAGAACATGCAAACTCCACAGAGAAACGCCAACTGAGCCGACGCTCGAACCAGCGACTTTCTTGCTGTGAGGCGACAGCACTACCTACTGCGCCACTGCTTCACCCTTTATTTATTTATTTATTTATTTATTTAACCAACCAGGAATGTTCCATTGAGATACAATATCTTTTCTACCAGGGAGTCCAGGTCAAGAAAGGCAGCATAGGACAGAGTTACAAAACTACATATCACAACACAGACAGATAAAAATAGTATAAACCATAATTAATTGTTAACACGTGCACTGTTCTAAATTGACAGCCTTTAAAATATTTTTAAATATAGCAATAGATGGTACGGATTTCCTTTGTAGTTTATCTTGACCTCATTCCATACATAATGAGCATACCTAGGAAATGCAGTTTGACTGTCTGTGTGAAAAAAATGGCATCTTAACTAAGAGTATATCTGCTGATCAGGTATTGTAAGTATTTGAACGGTACTCCAACAAGTTATTAGATATAAACTGTGGTAATTTACCAACTAAAGCTTTAAAAATAAAAACTAAGGTATGTTGTTTTCTCCTTAACTGTTGAGCTCAAGTGGCTCTCAAGAGCTCTCCTGGGTTAGTTCTGGGCCTATTATAGATTACTGGAATTGCTATGACGGGATAGACCACTGACTGAAAGGCATATATTGCAGCCTAGAACTAAATGCTCATCTACTGTGCCAATTTGGTTTAGTCAGTGTGTTTTATCGCATGTTTTTGGAATAAAACACGGGAGAAATCCACGTGAGCACGGAGAGAACATGTAAACTCTGCATAGAAATGCCAACTGGCCCAGTGAGGTGGCACGAACCAGTTACCTTCCTGATGTGAGGCAGCAGTGCTAACCACTGAGCCACCGTGCCACTCTTTCCTGGATAATCTAGAAAAGAAGGGGAGGAGTAGGCGTGGATGGAGGCATTCTTCAAGACGAAGATAAGTAGGGTAAGAAACTCTTTATTATTTATAGTGTGTTTGGATTCATCTGATTGCTCAATCAAGTGATAGCTAATATGGGACTAGCCGTGGTCAATCATAGGATTCTCTCAATACTAGTTTACAAATAAAATTCACAAAATATACAGCTATAAATGAAGAGACTAATTATTCTGTTCTATTGGACAAAATGTTAATAGTTGCTTTATTCTATGTATTTCAATAAAAAAATTATATATTTTTTTAATGTTATTTAGAGCATTTTGCTGGCCAAAATAACACGTTCTTATATTCCACTAAATATTGTTCTAAAACATTGGTGTTATGTTGTGTAAAATTGATCATAATAGTACCTAAAACACATCATTTTGTCGTTTGAAGCCAAAAATGCTCGAAATTATCATCAGTAGTTTACAGATTAAAAAGAAATTATGTTGTACACATCATAAATACGAGAAACTGAGAATTTTTTATTTATTTTTGTAGCTTCATATAACAACATACAAATATGTTTTAACTGTACGTTTTATTTGGCTTTTGCTTATTTGAGAAATTGTGAAAACTTCTTACTTTTCTGCGGTCAAATTTTTTGAGTACTTCGTGAAGTTTTTGAAGTTTTACTCTTGTGTCCTCCTCCAGAAACATGATCCAAGATGAGTTCTTGCCAAACTGTGACGACAAGCTAAAGAGAAAGAATACATATACTGTATGCATTATTACCAATTTTAAAGAGACAAACCAGTTAGTAAGTTCATTCATACCAGTTATTAAAACCAAATACAATCAAGACACACTAGTGTCACTTTAAAACAAAATCTTATGATGTATTCAATCCAGAAACAAGACGATTATCAATGAGTCATTAAATACTTAACTGAAATTACTTGCTAAAGAGATAATTGTCTTTTAATCAGTGGATTTTAAGTAAATTTTGCCAAATGATATTGAAATTTGAAAGCACCAAACCAAACATGCCCATAATCCAACAAGCCCCGGCCCTTTTGAAAATATATCAAATAGTTACTACTGATTTGGACACGCCCCTTACTGCTGATTGGCTGCAAGTGTGTTTTGGGACTAGATTCGACACTGTGGTCAAAAGCGTTTTTCAAAACATTTTTAATGCACCTTTGAATCACTGAATCATTCACTTAGTTGAATCTTTTGATAGACTCATTCATTTAAGCATACAATACTTTGTCACTAAACAGGGGTGTCAAAACCCTGTTTAATGCCCTGCACAGTTCAGTTCCAACCCTGCTTCAACACACTTACATGTAGGTCTCAAACAAACCTGAAGAACTTAATTAGTAAGGTGTGTTTAATTAGGGTTGGATCTAAACTGTGTAGAGCTGCAGCCCTCTATGAACTGAGTTTGACACATGTGCACTAGAAGCTGATCTTGCTGTGGCTTTTGAAACTATTTAATTAAGTCAGGTTGAAAATTCTTGTTTAATTATTTACACATTAAAGTCAAGAGTCTTTGAAGAGGAGATTTAGCTCGAAGGAGATTTACAGTTAAAAGGCTATTTCTTGATTAGTAATATGAATTGCTAAGAACTTAATTTGAACAACCTTTTGACACTTTTCTCAATGTTTTTGAACCTTCAGACTCCAAACTCTTAATAGTTAATAGTTTAATTTTACACATTTACACATTAAAGTTAAAGGTCTTTAAAGAGGTGATTTAGCTTAGTTTTGCTTATAAATCTTATTAAAAAGTATTTTTTTTATTAAAAAATGTGAACAACATTTTAATAACATTTGACAACATTTGTTTGGCTTTTTTATTTTTAAAGACTCCAGACTTTTAATAGTTTATAGTTTGATGTTTACACATTCATGTAAAAAACAATTTAGCCTATTTGAGTATATCATTCTGTATATCAAATACAGTGAAAAGGCTTTCAAAACTGACATGTTATTGTCAACGTTTTGTTTTGAGTATCACCTGAAGCTTTTAAATTTTATAACAATAATAAATACAACATTTTCACCATACATCATATTAATAATTAAAGCTTAACACAGAATCACAGCTGCATTGCTATTGAGCACGATAGCAACTCCAAACACAGAGCACACGAAACCACACATCAATAACTTTCTGTGAAGTTTTCTCCATGCTGAACGTGTGCAATAATGTGTGTGTTTCCCGACTCACCGAGGCAGCAGAGGGAGAATGCTCCAGTCTCCTTCATTGTCTGACAGCGTATGCAGGAGCAGGATGACAGGAGGACTCTGAAAGACACAAACACTCTATTACAGCTACTGTCAGACCCAGAAAAATAAGAAGACACCACGAGAACTGCCAGCTATCAAGAGAGTTTATCTGATTTAAGAAAAGTTTACTTTAAGGGACACAGACAGCAGGCTGGATGGACTTTACAAAGAGAGCTGAACAGAGACTAGTTTAGGCCACAGAGAAACTAGATTATTTTAGTAAGAGAAAAAGCATGTAAAGACCCTAAATAAATGTTTGTTTATTTTTTCAAATTTTATCTATTTATATTTTTTTTTTACAAATAACTGATTTATTTATTCTTTTAACATTTTTGTTTTGTGTTCTGATCCTTTTGGACAAGAATTTGTGTACTTTATACTCCAAAACATTGTGTTGTCAAACTACCTATTTAAAATGAGCTTAAACAACTCAATTCTTGAGTTTTTTAGGGGAATAACTTAATTGTGTTATGTTCAATTCACTTAAATTAGTAAATACTAATAAGTTAACCTAATTGCTTTATGTTTCCCCAATAAAAATGATTTTTAGGAGTTTTACAGTGTATGTATTACCCTTAGGTGTCAAATATAAGTTTATAATTATTTAATGTAACATTGATGTCAAAACACTTTTGTAAAACACACATATACTTTTCTCCATGTCTCAAACACATTTGGATCTTTTCTGTTAACTATATATACTGTATTACGCTAATTAGCAATCCATTGTAGCATAAAACATTGATCGTATTTTCAACCTAAATTAAATGTTTCTGAAATTAAAATGAATTTGTTTTTGTTTGAAACTGTTCAGAATAATGTCAAAGACTATAGATTACACAAGACATGTCACTTGTATAGTTCTGAATGGGGAAAAAGGGAAATGGGAAATAAGCGAGGGAAATTGGAAATAATACAGGGGCACAGTGAATCAGTGAATCTCAGTGAATATTTGCTTCAAATACATAAGAAATGTGTTCAAATAAAGCTTGAAATCTCTTTTAAATAATCCAAGGGCACTTGAAAACAAAAGTTTTTTAAATTTTGTAATCTGTATGAAACGAACGCGATGTTCGTCTTGTCAAATGCACATCACATGACAGTAATCACTCAGACGCCCACAAATTTGTAAACAAAGAGTTGCTGTCATTTCTAGAGGAGATTCACCATCAAGACCATGTTGTGGTATACTTCAGAGGTGCAGTGCGATTAGACGATCATTACCCAGAGGATGATAATGGGTAGAATGGCCATTAAATGAGACTGGTGTTGTGATCTTTTTTTTTTTTTTTTCAAATCTACATGCGCATTAGCTCGGGCACCCTGAAAAAATGCTGATTTTGTTTGATTAGAATGTTTAGAAATGAAACCTATGAGGCGGTTGTTGTTTAATTGTATTGGTGGTTCCAAAAATGCAATGTAATTGTAAGCTTGGCAAAAAGTTTTGGAGAATTGATGTTTCCCCATTCAGACAGAATGGGCGAGCATATGGCCGGAGAAGCATATCAAAGATGGACCCTGAGTAAAATTACCTGCCTTAAAGGGACTTTGGTGATGATCAATTTTGGTGACTGAAACCCCGCCTTCTTGTGCAAGAGCTAATCACTGATTGCCATAGATTGAATATTCTCTAGTGGAGGGGCTCAGACCAGACAAGAGTTTTTGCAGATTATGTTTCATTCAAAAATTTAGAAATGAAACTAAAAAGACAGTTGCTATTTAATTTTATTGTTGATTTTTATATGAAATTTAATAGTAAGCTTGGCAAGCAATTTTGGAGAATTTGATGTTTCCCTATTCAAACAGAAAGGCCGAGCATACTGCCTGGGAGGCATTACAAATGGCCGCAGAGTGAAATGACTCATCTTTAAGGGGCTTTGGTAATATTTACAGTATGTTGTTTGACTGTTTTGCAATAAAATTTCAGGTTAACTACAGTATGTCTGTATATAATAGGTTATTTGATTATAACAATTTGATTTTAATGCAATAATGTGCACTATTTGTAAATTCGCAGCCATTTTAGAGTATTAAAGTCTTAGATGTTTTTTTTATCATGTTTTCGCTAAAAGTGCTTAATTTATGAATTATATAAAGTTTTTGCAGAGTTCACCAAACTTGCACCATTGCCTGCTCAGTAGCGCCCCCTAAATTAATTTAACTGTTTTGTTAGAAAAAAATATTTAGGTTATATAAACTTAATTTGATTTTTTTTTCTAACCATGAGTTCAGTTACATTTTATGAAAGTGGTAAATGTAGTCAACAAAAATTCTAAAAAGAAATCTGAAACACATGCAGAGACTATTTGATAGTTCGATAGTTTGATTTGAGTTCAGATGCAAAAACCTGTAAGTGCCATCTGAATTTTTCTCCTAAAATTAGCATTTTTCTTAGGTTGCTATGTATAAGTAGAGTAATTTCTCTTTATTGTCAAATAATATGATATCTTCATTGCCTTTAATGTGAAATCAGTGAACACAAATATAGGAGTCTTGGAAAATGCTAATTTTTTAAGAACATTTCAGATAGAGGATTTATTTAATAAAAAAAAATGCTGAATTTTGAAAACAATAAACATATTTTTGCTTAAGGTTTGAGAGTAACATCTAATATTAACTGCAAGATGCTCTTCTACTTTATTTTATGCTTTTTAATCACAAAAAAAAATACACAAAGTGTCGTTAAAGCCTTTTTCTAACACATTTTGCAGTTGAACTTGCTGCACTTAATGACAGGAATCAACTGTAGAAAATGCTGTAATTACATAATTATATCATCAACCAGCAGAAAAGCATAACCTTCAGCTATAAAAGAAAAAAAAAAAATCAACTTCTCTTCAGCACCAACATTTTTTAGCATCAAGCAATCCACATTAGTGAGTGTAATTGGAGTGGCAATGAATGATACGAGAGTGCTAATGTTTAGTCCTCAAAATATTCACAAATGTGCTAGTAAAACTTTGTCCTTATCTCCAAAGAAGCATGAATGACTTAATATAGATCTGAGGGCTTTGTGACACCCACCGTCTGTCTTTATACAGCTCATCAGGATGTGAACAGAGTAAAAAAGATTGTGATTATGCTGTGACTCAAGATGGAGGTCGACGTGACCTCGCTCTGTTATGTTACCCCAGATATGACTGCATTTGCACATTCACATGTTGGAGGAAATAAACAGCAACCTTTGATGCGTCTGATCTGTCTGTTCTCTGTCAGGGGTACACACATGATGGTATAACATTTTTACTATTGTGATAATTGCTTCCACACAAATCATTCATGTTGTCCCAACACAAATCGATTAAGGTAACTTAACAAATTTAAGTGGTTTGAGCATAAGACAATTAAGCTGTCCTAAAAGAATCTTAAGAATTGTGTTTTCAGCTCAAGTATTTTGAACAAGCAGCAAAAATATTTAAGTGTGGTATTGTTGTAATATTTAAGTATGGTATTGTTACACAATTGACAAAAAAGCTTACTTTACAGGTGCAGAGTGTCAGTTGTTGATTCTTCTCAAGCATACAATACCATAATATGTTTGCTGATATTTAAGAAACATGCTAGGTGAACATTCTTGTTGTTATCTGAAAAACTGTGCTAACGTCAGATATTCTGCTTTGAAAATGTGCATTATGTGCAGGAACATCTGACTTTGTTTTGGTCATTTAACCCACCCAATGCCAGTTTAGCCAATTGTATTTCAGCACCCAATCATCCCTATCCCTTTCACCGTCTCTCCACTTCACCTATAGCTGGTGTGTGGTGAGTGCACTGGCGCAGTTGTCCTGCGGCTGCCATCACATCATCCATGTGGATTCTGCACACTGGTGGTGGTGTGGATAGACCCCCCCTCATGATTGTGAAGCACTATGAGTGCATCATGGCCATACACGATAAATGCGCTTTATAAATACACACAATACATTACATTTAGGACCATGAAGTGTTCACAAGCTGACACAAAATGCTAAATACACAGTTTACTCATTCAGCTCCACCCCAAAGAGGGATAAAGTATGTTTAAATGTATCTTTTGTTAGTTTAATGTGTATATTGTGAACATATATTATAAACACATGCTGAGTATAAGAGTTTAATCCATGTTTTATGCATCAAGTCATATGCTCAGCTCTTACTGTGAATTTTCTTGAGTGAAAAGACACCAAAAAACTTTATAAAGCTAATCTGATTATGCGGTTTATTAACTGAGTTAAGTTGATTATTTATTGCTTGTGTTTTTGTATATGTTAAAGCATTAAATGCATCTCTGTCAGTCGACGGTTCCATTTAGTCAAAATCAGGCTTGTCATTCTAGGGGTCGGTTCTGTGTTTATAAAAGAGCTTATAAACCATTTCTAGAGAGATTAATTTTAATACAAACTAGGTAGATATCAAAAACAGAATTATAAACTAGACACGTTCAAATAAATCAATAATTAATTATTTCATTCATTCATATTTTTTTCAGCTTAGTCCCTTTAGTGTGGTTTAGTGCACAGCGGAATGAACCATCAACTTTTCCAGCATATGTTTTACGCAGCGGATGCCCTTCCAGCTGCAACCCATCACTGGGAAACATCCATACTCACTCATTCACACACATACACTACAGACAATTTAGCTGACCCAATTCACCAATAGTGCATGTCTTTTGACTGTGGGGGAAACCGGAGCACCCGGAGAAACCCACGCAAACACGGGGAGAACATGCAAACTCCACATAGAAACACCAACTGACCCAGCGGAGGCTTGAACCAGTGACCTTCTTGCTGTGAAGTGATAGTGCTACCCACTGCACCACTGTGATGCCCTCAAATAAACAATTCTTCCAAAAAAATAAAAATACAGTATTTTGAAGTACCCACAATAGCAATCTCATACATTTTCATTTTCACCATATTTTATTGGTCTCTGCAGGTTTCTTCAAATCAAATTTAAGACTTTAAGACCACTATGAAAGAAATTTTGGACTTATACAGGGCTTAACACTAAGTAATCTTTCTAATGGCCTGGCTACT